AGTAGTCAAAGAAAAGTACAAGCAAATTCATCACTTCATTCTGGGGGGATGCTGGGGAGAAGATGTGGTTTCCATGGTAACACACCTCTGCCAGGCTGAGCAGCACACAGAGATCTGCTCCTCTGGTAACTTGCTAGCAACTTCCAGCTGGGTTCATCTCCAGCCTGGTTTTCGTCCCTGGAAAATGTGCTTTTTATCTTGAAACTAGCTTCACTCATACTGAGCCTTTGCCCAATATTCTTAAACTCATTTGAACAAATTAAACTGTTTAGAAAGAAAGTTTTACATTGGATTGATTTGTGGTGGCTAAGAATTGTTTGAAGGACTTAAACTGTTTTCATACCAATTTTCAGTGATTCACTGTTTCAATTTTGGACTTTCCAAAGAATATATACAGTGCTCGCTTCTGCAGCACATATACTAAAATTGGAACGATACACAGAAGATTAGCATGGCCCCTGCGCAAGGATGACACGCAAATTCGTGAAGCGTTCCATATTAAAAAAAAAAAAAAAAAAAAGAATATATACATTCAAAGTCATGGGAAAATGTATTAAGTATTATAAGAGAATTATTAAAACTACCCAGCAATGATAAAACCTTGCTTACTGAAAGTGAAGAGGACTTAAAACATTTACTGTATGGATTACACCTCAATGTAAAGAAAACAAAAATCCTCACCACTGGACCAATAAACAACATTCCTATCAACAGAGAAAAGATTGAAGTTGTCAAGGACGTCATTCTTCTTGGATCAACTATTAACACTCACGGAAGCAGTAATCAAGAAATCAAATGATGTATTTATTGCATTAGGCAAACCTGCTGCACAAGACCTTTTTAAAGTGTTGAAGAGCAAAGATGTCAGCATGAGGACTAAGGGGCGCCTGACCCAAGCCATGGTATTTTCAATTACCTCATATGCATGTGAAAACGAGACAGTGAATAAGGAAGATTTGATGTAAGAATTGATGCTATTGAGTTATGGTGTTGGAGGAAAATATTGAAAGTGCCAGGAACTGCCAAAAGAACCAACAGATCCGTTTTGGAAGTGCAGCCAGAGTGCTCCTTAGAAGCCAAGATGGCCAAACTTTGTCTCTCATACTTCAGACATATTGTCAGGAGGGACCAATCTCTGGAGAAGGATATCATGTTTGGTAAGGTGGAGGGTCAGAGAAAAAGAGGAAGACCCCCCAACGAGATGGACTGGCCAAGTGGCAGCATCGATGGGCTCAAGCATGGCAACAGTAGTGAGGTTGGCCCAGGATCAGGCAGTGTTTCATTGTGCTGTGCATAAAGTCGCTAGGGGTCGGTACCGATGGCACCTGACAACAACAACAACCACAAGAACAACCCAGAAATAGTCTGAAGGAGCCCTGCTGGCGCAGTGGCTTAAGTGATGTGTTGCTAACCTTGAGGCTGGTTGTTCAAGTTCACCAGCTGCTCTGAGGGAGAACAGGGAGGCTGCTTGCTCCTGGAAAGATTTCACCTACACAGGGTCCCTCTGAGTCACAATCGACTCAATGGCAGTGGGTTTGGGAATGTTTTGTTTGATAATTAGCATCACCTGAAGGAGAGATTTATCTTTACTATTTGGTGATTTTCCTTTGATGCTTTTTTTTTGGGTGGAGGTTGGAGACAGTAGGTGGGGGGGAGGTCTCACTATTTCAGTGCTTCTGGTTTTAAATTGAAGGAGCCCTGCTAGTGTAGTGGATTACAGGCTGGGCTGCTAACCACAAGGTCAGTAGTTCAAATCTATTAGTAGCTTCACGGGAGAAAGAAGAGGTTTTCTGCTCCTGGAAAGATTTTCAACCTTGGAAACCTATACAGGGTCACTATGAGTCAGAACTGCCTTGTTGGCACACATCCACCACCATTTTTAAATTGTGGCATCCTGGTGTCGCACTGTAGGATCAGCATGAGATTACTAACAACAAAGTCGGTGGTTCAATCCCACCTTTCGCTCCTTGGAAATCCTAAAAGGGTTGCTATGAGTCAGAGCTGGCTCTAAGGTACTTAACATAATTATTATTATTTTTAATGTGATCGTTTACATGGGAGAACATTAACTTTACATTCATCCTATCATATATCATTTCACTGCTATGGTTACAATCCCCTCCATGTATTATCAACCAACCAAAAGGTATATATACCAAGCAAGCCTGACCCCCGGTCATCAGCACACAGCCCCTCTCCCTCCCTGGATCTAAGGTCCCCAGCTGCTCCATCTCTCCACATCATCGTCTCTGCCTCCATTTCTGGCATCACTGTTCTCTGGGTAGGGTCCCGCTCTCCGCTCTTCTCTCTTGATGGTCCTAGGGACCTCCGCTCTTAGACTGCAAAGTTAATCACTCCCCTCCTTTTGCTACAAAACATCTACCTTTACATTTCCAACCTACACAATCAGTCCTGATAACAATTATTCACTGCTGTATCACAAGTATCCACATTTCCTTTCTTCAGCCCTGCCTAGACAGATCGGATACTACTCAGTGGAGATTCTACCTTGCTCCATGCCCTCTGGATCTAGGTTCCCTCTTGAAAGCTTGTAAGCCAGTCACTTCTTGCCTTTGCAGCGCCCCCACTTTGGGTAGCCAATGTCCAAGTTGCTCATCCCTGTTTACTCTGTGTATGGAGGGGGTGGGAATGATCCTTGCTGTAAAGATTTATTCCCTCTTTTGAGCTACTGCATCCATAGGTGTAGGTCAAATTCATCAAATTGTATCAGATTACAATTTTTTCCTCTTCTTTTTTCTACTAGTTGAGCTCTGATCATCCCGTCATTGAAACCAGGACAAGTGGGTATTATCTACAGGTATGGGTGTTCTTGTGCATATGCCCTCTCTTCTTATCAGCTGGACAGTTCACTCTCCACTCTAGTCCTCTATGGCTATGTCACTGACTCTGGGCTGAAGAGTCCCCAGGTCTTGCCACACTGCTGGCCAACCAGGTCTCCACCTGGGTTCAAAGGAGTCTATTGAGTATTGTAGGGCTTAGCTCGCAGCTTCATTGCTGTTTTCCCCTCACTTCCCCTTATTGGTGACGAATGTGGTCACCAATCAGAGCGTGTATTCCCATTGAGTCTTAGTCTTGGAAGGGGGTCTTCTGGAATAATTTGAGTAGAATTGGTGACAGCTCTTCCCTGAATGTTTGGTAGAACTCAGGTACTTAACATTTTTTAACTGAATTGAAATTGTACCATAGATCTATATATTCTTTGTTTCATATGAGATTTTCTTATGCTATAAAAAACTCTTCAAAAGCATACAAAACCATGTAATCTTTTCCTGTTTCTCTTCTCTTCTTGAACAATTCAGCCTGGAGATCACTAGATGGGGCCGAGGGATCCTTGTGGGGGAAGCTGGAGCCCTGGTAGCACAGGGGTTAAACTCATGGCTGCCAACCAAAAGGTCGGAGGTTCAAACCCACCAACTCCTTGGGAGAAAGATGAAACTGTATGCTTTCATAGAATTACAGCCTCTGAAAACCCCCAGGGCAGTTCTACTTTGCCCTCTAGGGTAGTTATGAGTCGGAATGGACTCAGCGGTGGTAGATTTGTGGAAGACACTCCGGTGTCTTCCCCTAATCTTAGACATTTAGAAGAGGCTTCTGGTTTCCATGATTACAAGTAATGCTATGGCATATATTACCATACACAGCCTCTCTCTCCCACCTGGGATTAGTGCTTTTGGAAAGACCACCAGGACCACACGGATGAGTGGGCCAATGAGCAAACACTCCAAAAGAGCTTCAGGAGACATGTTGATCAAGGGTTTCTTACAAGAGTTCAGCCCAGTTTTTAAGCCAATTTGCAATATTTGAATATATGTACTTCATCCTAATCAGCAGTGAGTTCGTATGTACCATCAAGTCAGTTCTGCCTCGTAATGATCCTGTATAGGGCTTCCGAGAAAAGGCTGGTGTGTTTGAACCATTGACCTTGTGTCTAATAATCCAGGGCCTATCCTACAGCACCACACGACTGTTGCTGTTGTTGTTGTTGTTGCTAAGTGCCACTGAGTTGGTTCCAACCCATAGCGACCCTGTATAGAGTTTCCAAGGAGCAGCTGGCCGAGTTTGAACTTCTGGCCTCATGGTTCAAACTGACTTTGCAGTCCAGTGCATTAACCTGCAGTGCCACCCAAGGGCTCCAATAGAACTTGTTGTTGTTAGGTGCCATCGATTCAGAACCAACTCATAGCGACCGTATGCACAACAGAAGGAAACACTGCCTGATCCTGGGCCAACCTCACAGTTGTTGCCACACTTGAGCCCATTGATGCTGCCACTCTCCCAATCCACCTCGCTGGGGGTCTTCTCTTTTTCTCTGACCCTCCACCTTACCAAACATGATTTCCTTCTCCAGTGACTGGTCCCTCCTGACAATATGTCCGAAGTATGAGAGAAGTTTGGCCATCTTGGCCTCCAAGGAGCACTCTGGCTGCACTTTTTCCAACAAGATCTGTTGGTTCTTTTGGCAGCCCATGGTACTTTTGATATTCTCCAACACCGTAACTCAAAAGCATCAATTCTTCTGCAGTCTTCCTTATTCACTGTCCAGCTTTCGCATGCATATGAGGTGACTGAAAATACCATGGCTTGGGTCAGGCGCACCTTAGTCCTCAAGCTGACATCTTTGCTCTTCAACACTTTAAAAAGGTTTTGTGCAGATTTGCCTAATGCAATGCACATCGTCAGATTTCTTGACTGCTGCTTCCATGAGTGTTGATAGTTAATCCAAGAAGTATGAAGTCCTTGACAACTTCAATCTTTTCTCCATTGATAAGAATGTTGTTTATTGGTCCAGTGGTGAGGATTTTTGTTTTCTTTATATTGATATGCAATCCATACTAGTGGCTGTGCTCTTTGATCTTCATCAGTAAATGTTTCAAGTCCTCTTCACTTTCAGCAAGCAAGGCTATCCTATCTTTAAATGTGCAAATTTTATTTTTCAAACAAACAAGGCTAAATCATTTTTTGAAAATTTAATTGCTTACCTAGAGAAGCAGTAGCTTGTCCAACCACATACACTGGCTTGGCATTCCATTTTCCTTTCAGAGATTTTTCCCAAGCTGAAAAACAAGGAATCCTACATACGTGAGTTGCAAATACCAAAGTCGCCATTTGGACGCTGCCCAAGGTTGCCTGTTAACCTTAAGAAATTTGCAAATAAGCAAAAGATTAACAACCAAACATAAAGCAAAGACTAACATCTCAAAGTTATATATGCTTTGTAAGCAAAAAATCCCCTTGGTAGATGTTTCCATCTGCTTTGCTTGAAATATGAACGGGTTTCCACAACTGGCATTCCTCAGATTTTCAATGTATACCAGCAAACAAACGTAGCTTTTAGAAGGAATTTGCATAGTGACATTAAAAGAAAACAAAACTAGACTCTTGAAGAAAAGTCACTGAACATTAAAAAAATAAAAAGCAAATGGAATGTCTAATAAAGCAAAGCAATATAACTGACTTTATTTGGGAAATAAATCGTAAGAATGTCCACAAATTGCAGGCTCAGATGAGAGGTCTCACAGATCTATTAGAGTTGGGGTGGTATTGTTGTTATGTGCGGTGAGTCGGTTCCGAGTCATACTGACCCTATACAGGATTTCCGAGGCTGTTATCTTACAGGAGCAGAAATCTCATGTTTCTCCTGAGGAACAACTGGTAGTTTCGAACTGCTGACCTTGAGGTTAGCAGTCCAATTTGTAACCACTACGCTACCAGAGACCTTGAGGTTAGCAGCCCAATAATACCAGTTACACAGCTGTTCATTCAGACTAAGTGTGAAGTCCTGGGCCCTGTTCAAGGGACATACTGTGTTCACACTGCTTGGTGAAGGAGGGAGGCAGGCTGAAGGTCAGAGAAATGACCGTGTCATAAAGGGCCTCTCAAGGCACTGACCACCCCCCGTGTTGTTCTTGTTGCTGTGAAGTTGCCGTTGCATCGGTTCTGACTCCCAGTGACCATGTACAGGATTTCTGAGGAGCAGCTAGTGAGTTTGAACTGCTGACCTAGTGGTTAGCGGTCCAGAGCTTATCCTACAGTGCCACACCGGGACTCAGTAGATGGTTGGATTTTTTCATCATCCCTTCAAAGAACATGGCATTTATCCTACTTTCAGAGAAGACCGGGGCCTGGTCTATTGTAAAAGGGGATGTGAACTCCTGGTAGGTGAACATGTAAGATCGCGTGAGAGACGTCTGCCTGGGAGTTCAGGAAGCAACGTGTGTCTTCTGTGTGGTGGTTCCATGAAGCACTCACTCCCATCAGAGGTCAGCACGTAGCCTTGACATTTTGTGCTGGACACTAGGAAACTTTTTATAGAAGAAAAGTCCTAGTGTGCTCCCTCCAAAGACACAAAACACAAAGCAACTTGGTATCTACACACTTTCAGGGCTGAAAAGGCCTGCTGTTTGTCAGCCCCAAGGCGCCAATGTCTCTGGAGTGTCATATCCCGGGGGTGGGGGGGGGACAGGAAGGAGGGAGTAAGAGTCCAGTAGAGTCAGAAGCAGACCCTTCCTCACCTTCAGTTTTATTATCCTTCTCCAAACACATCTCCATGGCTTCCACTGCTCGGGCACTGGTGAAAATGAGTCCCCCATACCCTTCAGGACAAGACAGCTGTAAACCAAAAGAGCAATCGAGGCAAAACTCAAAAACAAGTAGGCAAATGTTTAGCAGAAGAAGTTGTTGTTAAGTGATGTCAAGTTGGTGCCGACTCTTAACGACCCTGTGTGGAGGGTTTCCAAGGAGTGGCGGGTAAGTTTGAACCGCTGACCTTGCGGTTCAAACCGACCTTGTTGGCCAGTGCTTATCCTACAGCGCTATACCAGGGCTCCCCAGGACCTAGAAATGACTCCAAATCCTGAGCTCTTTTTTTCCCCTTTACAGGTGCCTGCGTAAGTGGATAGGAGTCCTGGTGTGGCACTGTGGACTAATGCGTTAGACTGCAAAGTCATTTGACCTGCAAGGTCAGTGGTTCAAGCCCACCAGATGTTTCTTGGAAACCCTATACAGGGTCGCTATGGGTTGGAATCAATGCAACGGCTCTTAACAACAACAACAACAATGTAAGCGGATAAGGAGCTCTGGTAGCATAGTGCTTATGAGTCTATCTGCTAACCTCAGGGTCAGCAGTTTGAAGCTACCAGCTATTCCACAGGAGAAAGATTGGAGACCCTATGCAGGGTGGTTATGAGTCAGGACCGACTCCACTGCACACCATCACCACCACATGGAGGAAGACAGTGAAGTGGGATGGAGCTTGTGACAGAGACAGACCTGGGGTCTTTGCCTGAGAGGGTAACAACACAGCTTCCCACTCAACATTTATGGGGCAGACCACTGAATGAGTGGTCCCATAGTCAGTCCCCACAGAACGTCCTCATAAGGAGGGTGGCAGAGCCCAGGATGAACCCCTGCTGCTGACAGAGGCCATGGCTAACAGAGTGGGCAGGGCTGGGCACCCCCATCTCAGGAAACCACTCCAGGCCTGTGGACCTTGTCTGGAAGGAGCCCACGGAGGTGCCCTGAAGGCAGTGCTGGCTGGTAGCATGCTGTTTCAGGCTGCCAGCCACTGCGGCTCTCCTAGGGCACTGGGTATGGTTCCTGCAAAGTCTGTCAGCCTCCATCTGGTGGTAGAACTGAAATCCCGGGTTCGAGTCCCAACCCTGCCTCTTACTTGCTAGAGGCAAAGTTGTCAGCCTGGGTCTCAAATGAGTTCATCTCTAAAATGGGAAGCCTATCAGGGATGGGGGTGGGGTCTAACAAGGATGAGTGACAACAAGTGGGGGAACTTCTGGGAGCAGTGTGAGGGGGTCTGCATCTCCCTGTCTTCCCCCCTATAGGACTCCCGACAGCAGCAGCCTCCGGAAGCTGAGTGAGGCTGCACCTCCCCCATTTTCCAGTTTGGTGATAAAATGAGGGGTATAAAACAGGTCCCCCTGTTGGGGTTGGGCAAAGATTCTAGGAAAATCAAACCTGAACATATGCCAAGCGACGGGCTTTACCTTCTCAGAGAAGCTTGAGAGAGACAAAAACTCAAAGGATAAAACAGGGATCAGAGCGGCTTCCAGTCCACACAAGCCTAATTCCTGCACAAGAAGAGCACACATGGGTCTGGGTTAGCCAGGGGCCGAGGACTGCACTCACAGCTCATTCTGTGACATCCCTCTGAGCTGTGGCCGGCAGTTCTGCTCGGGTGTCACGGCCCCCAAGTCACAGGGCACTTACTCTGATATACGGGTCCTGGCCACAGCTGTCTTCTTTAGGGTCTTTGAGCAGAAGGACCTTCATTACAGCTGGCAGTCGTCACTGGGTCTGTGACAGAGAGGGGAAGTGGGGCTTAATTAGAATCAAGTCTCTGCTCAGGACAGCAGTACTCAGGAGTGGGTAGTCAAATGCTGCCTGGGAACGATGCCTGGCACACAATGACTTAGCATTCCTGGGCTTGTCCACCTCTAGTCGCTGATAAGGCCCAGAGCAAACATGGTGGGACGTGATATCACTCGGCAAGGTAGATGAGGCCCATCAGCTACAGCCAACGCCAGACACACTGATGATCTTAATGGGGACGTGACACAAGTCCTGGGCTGTATCTATAGCAAGTAGAGAAATGCCTCCCTTGTACTGCCAGCAGAGAAATGAACCGCGATTTCCACTTGAAGAGAAATACACTAAGGAGGCCATCAAGTCTGTCTGAACCCATGGTACTGACTGCTCTTCTCAAAGGCAGCTTTGTAAGTACTGTCAAAGGTCATGAGGTGACCTCCCCCGAGTCTTCTAACAATCGGGAGAACCATTGGTCAGCACGTATCAATGCTTCTTCTCGTCCGGTCTCTACCTCCCTGTGATCTCACTTCTAAGCATGACTGCCAAGGCCAGGTTCAAATGTGTGAGAAGATCAGAACGCGGAGACTCACCGTGGCCTTGTCTGTAACTGCACATAACTGGAGACGACAGAAACCTCCGGCAGGGGATGGATGGTTACATACACCATAGAGCAGCTATGACATCATTAAAACACTTACAAGCCAACTTAATTACATGGAGACAGGATTACACAATCATGTGATGTGAAAACCAAGCAGGATTCAGAATTATATCAAAATCATAACTACAGAAAATCTTATAGGAAATATGAGGGGGCTTCAAAAAGCTTATGGAAAAATTGCATTGTCTTTCAATTCCATTTTCCCAAGAACTTCTTAAAGTCTGCTCATGTATGGATATCACAGTTTCAACTCATTAACTACCCTGTATAGGGTTTCCAAGGAGCAGTTGGTGAGTTTGAACTGCCGACCTTGTGGTTCACACCGACAGTGCGGTCCAGTGCTTTATCCTACAGCGCCACACCAGGACACACTTTCTCTCTCTACATATATATTTAACTTGTTAAGTGCCGTTTGAACCTCCGACCTTGCAGTTCAAACCGACTTTGCAGTCCATCATCACATTAACTCAGAGCACCACCCCAGAACTCTGTCTGTCTTTCTGTCTCTCTGTATACACACACACACACACACACACACACACACACACACACATACTTGTGTTGTTGATTACTGTCAAGTCACTCTGACTCGCAATGACCCTGTATAAGCTTTCTGAAGAGCGGTTGGTGACCTTGAACCGCCAACTTTGTGATTCAAACTGACCTTGCAGTCCAGCGCATTAACCCACAGCACCACACCAGGGCTCCACATATAAATATATTTTATTTATTCACACACGCATTCACTTCACCGTAAGGCTAGTTTGAACCGCAAGGTTGGTGGTTAATAACAACACACGCACAGATATATATATATATGTATATATATATATGTTGTTGTTGTTGTTAAGTGCCATCGAGTCGGATCCGACCCATAGCGACCCTGTACAGGGTTTCCGAGGCTGTAAATCTTTACGGGAGCAGAACGCCTCATCTTTCTCCCGCGGAGCGGCTGGTAGTTTCGAACTGCTGACCTTAAGGTTCACAGTCCGATTCGTAACCACTACGCTACCAGAGCCCTCTCTCTCTCTCTCTCTCTCTCTCTCTCTCTCTATATATATATATATATATATATATGTATATATATCTGTGTGTATATATTTATATACATATATATATATCTGTGTGTATATATTTCGTTGCTAGGCACTTTGGAACTAGGTTCCGGCTAACACATCAAAACATTAATAGTGATTATTTCTGGGTTGTTGTTCGGTGCCGTGGAGTCGGTTCCAACTTATAGTAAATGTCTGCACACCAGCAGGAAACACGGCTGGTCTGCACCGCCCTCACAGCTGCTTACAGTGGAGCTTGTAGCTCACTGTTGCTGCCACTGTGACAATCCATCTTTGGGGGTCTTCCTCTTTTTCTCCGACCCTCCACTTTACCTAGCATGATGTCCTTCTCCAGGGACTGTCCCCTCCTGAAAATATGTCCAAAGCACAAGAGATGAAGTCTCACCATGCTCACTTCTAAGGAGCATTCTGGCTGTATTTCCATGATACACTTCTGCATGGCAGGTTAGAACTTTCTTATTTACCTCTTTCTATATTATCCAAAATTTTCTATGACAGATGTTTCTCATTGTACTGTATTAAGGGGGGCAAGGATGCATAATAATCACCTGAAAGGCCTCAAAATAAATGCTGGCAAAGCCCGGAAGGAAGAAGCGTGCCCAGAGCACAGAGCCACGTCCCTCACTCAGCATCAGACCCGCCATTAGCTGCTTCCCATGTATTCCAGGACGGGGGATCAGAGCCCAAGGACTATACGGTTTGGAAGACACAGCTGTTACCTCTAAGAGCCATTATCTGTAAGTTCCTGCTGAATGGATTTCTGGAACAGCGTAGGACCTATAAGACAGTTTAGGAAAATTGGCTCAAAATTTGTTTCTAAGCAACCAACTTTGGGTGAACAAATAATGATTAGAAACCCACGTTGGAATTACTGTGGCGCTCAAGCTGTTTGCTATGGAAACCGGGGACTTGGGAACGTGAACAGCAGCTCTTCTGTGAGTTTCTAAAGTTACTCAACAAGGGTCTCACGCAGAAATGATGAATTTAGCCTTCTACTCAGTTTTCTGTATCAACTCAACCGGACTGGCAAAAACTAGCTACTGTTGCGTCAACGCCAACTGAAGGCCAGCCCGCATGTGCCAGAGAACGGGGCTCCTTTCAGAGGTCAGTCCTTTTTTCTGAAGTGCTTCTGGGTGGTCTCCAACCGCCAACCTTTTTGTCAGCTGTCAAGCATACTCACTGACCACCGGAACCAAAGACAAAAAGCAAACGAACCAGTTGCCACTCAATCCAATGACACTCTAGGACAGAGTCGAGCACACCATAGGGTTCCTATTTTTATGAAGCAGACGGTCTCATCTTTCTTCCGTGGAGTGGCTGGTGGGTTTGAACCAACAACCTTTAGGATCACAGCTAAGCACTTAAATACAGAATCACCAGAGCTCCCTTAGAGCCACTCAGGTCCTCAGTGACCCCTGACCACCACCCCCAACACTAACGGAGCTGCAGCTGTGCTGGTATTTGTAGGTGTGATTAAAGGGCATGCTCAGTTGGGAGAGTGCCCTAGGTAACATGGGTAAGCCACGACAAGCCCGAGAGACCTCAGAGAGGATGGAGAGTCCTGAAAGCAACCAGGCTTACTGGCTGGCTAGTGTCCGGCAGGACCCATGAGGCTACGGCCCTCAGGTCTGGGACTGAACTCACCCCTGTGGCTCCATTTTCAACCACACAACAGACAGATCCGTGAGGGGAACAGGAACACTAGGGGGCCCACACACCGTCGGAAGAGCAGCCACGTGACATCAGGAGGACGGAGTTCAGAAGGATGAGGAAAGGAGAAATGGAAAGAGGCATCGCAGGGGAGAAGAGGGGTCCATGACGTGACACTGTGGGGCTGCAGTCAGTGACATGAAACCAAGTGCGCCTACACTGCTGAATGGAGCACAGATCTGCTCTGTAAACCAGTTCCCCACTCAGCAGTTCATACACAATACACAATGCAAAGTCTTAAGGAAAGAAAGAACAGAGTTGAGCCTGCCCCAAAGAGGAAATCCATTGAATACCCACTCAGTCATCGCTGTGGAGTTGACGACTTAACTATAACTCACAGTGACCCTGGATAGGTTTCCTGAGGCTGTAAGTCATTCCAGGGGCATACACCTTCATCAATCTCCCAAGGAACGGATGGCGGGTTTGAACTGCTGACTTTGCGTTTAGCAGCTCAACCCACAGCAACAGCAAAGGCAGCTTATTCCCGAGAGTTCCAGCCTGCTTGCCAACTGGCTACCTATGAACTTCAGACTTGCCTTGCTAGCCCCAGGACCAGGTGAGGTAGTTCCTTGCAACAAATCCCTTAATTCATACCTGGTTGGACCCTAATTTACCTTCCAGTCTAGGGGCTCCAGAAATCTGCTTTGTACTGGGTGACAGGTGAAACTTGGCATTTTCTACTAACGCATAACTCCTTCCAGGCATGATGGGTTGAGTTTGGGGACTTAACAGCAGAAAGTCCTGGGCCCTGCTTTCTCCCCACTACAATCCCCAGTCAAGTGATCGGTGTTCCGAGGGAACAGTCTATCCTACCAAGTGGAGGACTGCCAAATGACTCCAAGGAGACAGTAACAGCTAGCACGTACTAAGCACTTCGATGCATTAAATCTGTGGTTTGTCCCATTTTTCAGATAAAGACACTGATGCATACAGACGATCAAACTCATTCGAAGTTTCAGAACTGACACGTGGTATAGCTGCAGAACTGCGCTCTGACTCCCGGGCCGTGCTACCTCTCACCTACTTGGCAGATGAACATGTGTTCAGAAAACATGTTCGTTTTGAAGATGGGGTACTGTTACTGTACCAACTGCTTAGTTTAATAACACAAATGGCTGAGAGCAAAATCAATCTATCCACCACACACAAAGCCAATGTTTCTTCTGGGCTTTTGTCTACGGCTCTCTCAGGTAATAAAATGGATGCTAATGTGAGAGTTAGGGTTCAAGACAATAATTGTTTGGAGATTCCATTGGATGTGCTACTGGGCTTGATACAGAGCAATCAAACTGCCATCCGTACTCCTCTCTACCACTGCTGAGAGCTCCCTAAGGTGCAATTGGAGGAATCTTTGCAGTTTGACAGCCATGCTATCAGGTTCACCGAGAAAGAAATCCATTGGGAAGGCCTCACACGTGACTCTTTTCTGAGTCTCATGTTTCCAGAACTGACTTTGTCTTCCACAACATACAAGTATAATTGAGTTGGGCAGATTCAGCACAGCACAGAAGCCAGAGACCTCAAAGAAAGGTCTGTAGCTACCTCCTCAATGGGGGTGGACAGGAAGAAGGTCCTGGACCAGACACTGGACGCTGCCTTTGGCCATGGACATAATGACCAGGGGGAGGATCCATGTGACTCCAATTCGTGCATGTGGACAGACCTCAGCTGCCCTATGAATGAAGCACCACGTCTCTGCCTTCTGTCTAAACGGCTTCAGTTCTCTAGTTCCTGCGGCTAAAGTGATCCTTTCAGAGCACCCAGTAGTGGCACCATCTAGCTCCTCTGGTCTCAAGGCTGTGGAGGCTGAAGTTTGGGGGGTTCCATTAGTCCACTGGACTGAGGATTTCCTTGCATCTTTGATTTTCTTCACTCTTCTTTTGCTCTGGACAGGGAGAGACCAGTCACTGCCCCTTAAATGGCCACTTGCAGCTTTTAAGTACCCGGTGGCTGCTTACCAAAGTAGGACATAGAACATGGTCTTTGTGGGCTGCTATGTCACCTGACCTTGGTGTCCCCCAAGACTACGGTCCCGGGCCTCCAAGCTGGCATCACTCCCCAGGGGACTTTCTTGATTATCATCCTTAGGGGACTAGGTTGCTAGGTTTCCTCCTGTGGAGGCTTAGGGTAGGCTCGATCCAGCAACCTGTCAGTTGGCAGCCAAGTGCTTCAGTATTTGAGCCACCAGGGGCTGGTAAGTAGATGTTGGCATTCTTACAACTTCGCACGGACCACGAGTAGGATGAAAAAGTGCTTCCAGACTTAGTAAGTCATTCATGGCAGGCAACAGGGAAGCAGGGAAGCTACAAGGCTCATTGTCTATGCTTCTAACCCACAGTCTCTGATTTCAGATCCACAGAGAAAAAATATCATCCACCCAAAAGGTAGATGACCACCGTGCTTGTGCAGGAACGCTCATGGAAGGGGAACTAGCTCCACGTCACTTAGAGGGTGTGATCCCAGCACAGCATGGAGAATGGAGGCTGGAGCCAAGAGTCTGGCTGAGCCCACCCAGGAGGTGTAAGGCAGGGTGACACACAGAGCTCAAGGTCGGGGTCTCTGCTCTCTCCATGTGACTCCACCCAGAGACATCAGGGAATCTGCAGCAACTTGATCTTTAAGGACAGGTGACAATCTTCCATTGGAGTGAGTACTTAGCATTACGTTGTCACTCAACTAGGAAGCTTAGCTCCAGGGTTTCATCTTAACTAAAACCCACTGCCACCAAGTCAATTTCGACTCAAAGAGACCCAATAGGATCCAACGGTTTCCAAGGCTGTAAATCTTTCCACAAACAGGCCGCCAGATCCTTCCCTTTGCGGTTGGGGATCTTTCAAACCACTGATCTTTGAGTTACAAGCAGAGTACATTTGTCATTCTGCCACCAGAAATGCTTTTTAAATTACTTTTTGGTTTTTATTCCCTTCAACACTGGACTGCACAGGTCTGCAATTCAAGCCTGCCAACTGCTCGCTAGGAGAAAGATGGCGATTTCTGCTCCTGCGAAGAGTTCAAGCCTTGGAAACACCATATGGGGTCACTATGAGTGGGAACCGACTCGATGGCACCTAACAACGGGTCCCAGCCTAACTCAGCCCTCCTCTATGCTGGGGTAGGAGCTGTTTGTCAGAGTGTGTACCACTGAAGAAGTTCTGACTCATAGCAACCCTGTATAGGGAATCCTGGTGTGGCACTATGGGATACACACTGGACTGCAAGGTCCATTTGAACTTCAAGGCAGGCTGTTCAAACCCACTAGCTGCTGCTCGGAAACCCTGTACAGGGTCACTGTGAATTGGAATCAACTCGATGGCACTTAAAACAGCATAGGGCTTCTGAGGTTACAAATTTTTACAGGAGCAGAAAGCCTCATCTGTCTCCCGTGGAGCGCCTGGGAGACTCGAACTGCTGATGTTGAAGTTACCAGACCAATGTGTAACCCACTACACCGTCAGGTGGGGCTGTTGTTAAGTGCCGCAGAGTAGGTTTCGACTCACAGTGACCCTGTATAGGGTTTCCTAGGAGCGGCTGGTGAGCTTGAACCACAGACTTTGCGGTTCCTCTCTACTGGTAGGATGGGGGCCCATCCAATGAGATCCAGTGACCAAACGCGGGTATATGTACAGTCACCACGCAATGGCCAGGCAGAGGAGACGCATGAAAGATGCAACTCACGGAACACAATCATGGAGTTCAGGGTTGACGGGAAGGTTCCCTTTAAGGAATGCTGATGAAGGACCCCCGAAAACAACGCCGTTAAGTTCTGTCCTTAGAGCATTATACAGAGGCAGCTCACTCCATCTTCAAAGTCACGCACATCTAACCCACTCCCTTCTTTTACAGAAAATAAATGGTGAACCACACTTCCCATTCTCAGGAAGTTGATGTCTCCTCTAATTAATTACTTTCTTTCCAAATAAGGCTTGAAAACAAGCTGCAAACTGGTAACCTGTGAGATAAATCTAACTGGTAGTTGCATTTTAACTGGTACAGGTTGTTTCTATGTGGAATCCTAGTGGTGCTGCAGGATAAGTACTGGACCGGAAGGTCAGTTCGAACTGACCACAGGGTGGGCAGTTCAAACCCGCCAGTCACTTCTCAGAATCACTGTACAAGTTCACTAATGAGTAGGAACCTCCAGTCAGAAACACTATACAGGATCGCTAATGAGTAAGGAAGGAACTGACTCTGTGGCACTTTACAACACAATCTATATGTACAAACTCATATTTAGTGTAAAAAGCCAGAACTCTAGCTTCTCTTGAAATGGGAGGACTCAACAAGACAGAGCCCACATTTCCACAGGAGACCTATGTGGTGTAATGAGTATAAGGGATCGGCTGCTAGAGGCTGGGGTCCACCCACAGGTGCTTTGAAAGAAAAACCTGGTGATCTAATTCAAAAATTCAGTTACTGGAAAGCGTGGAGCACTGTTCTACTCTGACAACAGTGGGGCCAAGGAGTCATCGCCACAGTAACTGGTTTGGGTAGTAGGATTCCTTTATATGGGTATACATGCTACCCACTCTTTCATCTAGATTCAGTTGTTGTTATGTGCCCAGGAGTTGGTTCCGACTCATAGTGACCCTGTACAGGGTTCCTGAGGCTGTAAATCTTTACGGGAGCAGAAAGCCTCATCTTTCTCCCGCAAAACAGCTGTTGTTAAGTGTTGTGGAGTCGGTTCAGCCTCATAGCGACCTGAAATTTAGATGACTTGGTGCCTCAACTCCAAATCATTTATCAGGGCAGAGAAGAGCTGCCTCGGAGGGTTGCCAAGGCTGTCATCTTCACAGGAGCAGCTCTCCAGGTCTTTCTCCCGTGCTGCAACTGTGTGAGTTCCAAGTGTCAACCTTATGGGTAGCGGCCGAAAACTTAACCGTTGCGCCACTAGGGCTCATTTATATGATCTGAGCCCTAAAGCACTGAAGGTTAACACTCCCTTATTACAAACTTTCAGGTCACAGAAAAGCATTTCAAGAGAGTCAAGGGATTCGAACCCGATTCACTGCATCACTGTCTCGCATGTGCCAGGAGCTGTGCCAGCACAGATCACCTTACAGGTGGGCAGCGACACCTACCGCAGACGCAATGACATTGGGGGGGCACCGCACGACGTGCCCCTGCAGCCTGGTCACCCAGCCCGCCGCCCAGGGGTCTTGTAAGCGCGCAGCAGACAAACTGAAACCCGCGCACGCGCGCCAGCAGCCAGGTCCAAGGGGGCGAGGCGAGGCGGGGCTGGGAGGTTCGTACCACTATGCAAAGAGGTGGAGCAGCGTTGGAGGGAAGGAAGGAGAGAAAAGAAAGACTATGGCCACAATACAACCCGAACCTGGATTTAATTCTGAGGATCATGGCTGTGGAGTCCAGTCGAGTCACTTAGGCTGGCGTTGGCTCAGGCCTAAGGTTCTTCGTAGTCTCCCCGCCTCCGCACCTGGCTTGAGTGGGTCGGTCCGGAAGGCCGGCGGCGGCCGTTGCGCAGGCGCAGTGCGTGTGCCGGCAACATGGCTTCTAAGTCCAAGAGGCGAGCCGTAGGGAGCGGGGTTCCGCGGCCTCCGGGCGCCCAGCTCCCGCGCGACGAGGAAGAAGAGGAAGAGGAAGTCGAGGATGAAGAGGCAGAGAGTGACGAGGAAGACGACGAGGTCGTTGACGAGGTGAGTAGCGCAAGTTATCCCGGTTTGTTTACATCCGGGAAGACGCCGGCCGTCAAAGCCACGTGGAATGTGCATGGAGGAGCCACTTCCGGTTCCTTGGCTTTGGAGGCCGACACTGGGCGTAATGTTTTCTCGTTTTGTTAGTTCTGGAACATTTATTGTGGTTTGGGTGAAAGGTTACGCAGCACATTAGTTTCTCGGCCAACAGTTTGAACACATTTTGCTTCGTTGGCTTGGGCTGCGATCGCCTCCATGTAGTATCGCTCTTCCGGTGTCTTCTCCGGGTCCGTTTCCATTTGTCCTTCTTTCCTGCCCCCTCTTGCCGTTGAGACTCGTAGGGTTGATTGTTCCGAGGAGCGCCTTTCTGTGTCATTGTTCAGGTTATAGTCCTGTCAGTCGGGCAGACAATGGATCGAACCCAGGGGGTGGGTTCAGTTCCAGGTTTGAAGTTTGCTGGACGTTTTTTGTCTGTCCAGGGCCTTTTGTGGTCCTAGTCTAGAGGTGTGAGGTGATAACCCAGCACTGGTTCGCCTGGTCCCTCAGTCCTGTGGACTCATTGTTGCCTCGCACACTTGATTTTCTTCCGTTTTTGCTTCGTATGGGGAGAGACCAGTCGTTTTAAGACCTCCCCAGTTGCTATTCCCCTGGTGTTGCGTTGTAGGGTCAGCACTGGACTGGGAGTTGGAAACCCTTTGCAGGGTCGTTATGAATCAGAAAATGTCGAAGGCGTTTAACAACAACAACAAAGTAAGATGTCGATCATTGTCTGTGTGGACTGGGATTATGCCCATTGACCTAGGCATCCCCTGACTCTGTGGTCTTTAAGTCCAGCGACTCACTCCCACAGGCTAAGAAGTTTGCTTAACTTTACCCCCTGTATGAGCCACTCGGTTGTTGTTGTTAGGTGTTGTCACGTTGGTTCCGATTCCGTGACTTTAGCCACCCTAGAACACAACACGGTTTTTGCTGGGTTTGAGCCCATTGTTGGCTGCCTCCGTGTCAGTCCATCACATTGAGACGCTTCTGCGTTTTCACTGATCCTCCACTTTCCCAAGCTTGCTGCCCTTGTCCAGGGACAGGCCCTCCTGACACGTCTAAATGACAGAGGCAGTCTCGCCAGCCTGGCTTCTGAGGAGCACTCTGGCTATACTTCTTCCAAGACAGATTTGTTAGTTCTTCAGGCAGCCCATGGGACTTCCAGTATTCTCCAGCACCAAGCTGAAATGCACTGAGTTTCTACAGTCACCTTATTCACTGTCCACCTTTCACATGTATGTATATGAGGTCATTGAAAACACCATAGCTTAAGTCGGGGGCACTTTAGTGTACAAAGTGACATCTTTGTCTTGAACCCTTTAAAGAGACCTTTTGCAACAGAGTTGCCTGATGCAATATGTCATCTGATTTCTTGAACTGCTCCACTGTATAACTGGTTATATATGCAGCACATCAAAATACATATGTGGAGATATTCTTACATGTGCTCGTAGGTGTATGCCGTCCCATAACTGTTCAGTTTACATGGTTACCTATGTGTCCGCTCATAAATTGTTGTTTGTTACTGTTAATGAGGAGTCCTGGTGAGGCGGGGTAGATAAGCACTTGACTTTAAGGTTGGTTTGAACTGCAAGGTTGGAGATCCAAACTCACCAGCTGCTCCTTGGAAACCTTACATAGGGTCGCTATGAGTCAGAGTCAACTCAACAGCTCTGAACAACTGTTAACAAAGGACTGTGTGTGCAATACTGTTAGTGTCATTGTCTTTTACTCCTGCGGACCTCCCAGTGTCTTCCTTTGCCTTGGTCGTGCTGGGCTGACCGCCCCCTTACTGTGTTCTGTCTTTCCCTTCTCCCAAGTGAGTACATGGCTACTGTCTAGTTAGGGACTTCTCTCCCCCTTCCCCTCCCATCCCTTTCCTTGGCTTTTTATAGTAGTGGTGGTCCCGTGCAGTATTAGCCCTTTTGTGACTGACTTGTTCACTCGGCCTGGTTTCCAGGTGGGGAGAGAGCTTTACTGCAGTCCGACTTTTGAGTTGTTCGTGTTGCAGCCACAGCCATCCGTCTCCAAAGTCCTGCCGCACAGCAGTCTTGAGTCAGGCCACTCCAGGGCCCCTGGGAGTGGTTTTGTTCTCTCTCCCCCTTAGCGCAGCCTGGCTGCTGTGACTTGCATCTAGAGCCGACTTGACCTCAGTATTGTTGCTGTTCAGTGCTCTGAGGCGCATGTGCAAATGATGATATGGTAGGGAGGTGCTGGAAGTCTAGTCTGTAAACAGAACCCACACATGGCAATTAGTAATGTTTGCCAGTTTCCAAATCTAGTTCTTTGGAGTCCTGATGAGACTGCACTGCTAACTGCAAGGTCAGTGGTTCAAACCCACCAGCTGCTCCTTGGATATACTGTGAGTTGGAACCCACTTGATGGCACTTAACAACAACGAGATAGTCAGTAACCATTTCTTCCTGCTTCTTCTGGGTCATCTTGGGATGAACTGAGAAGTAGGGAAAGAGCCAGAGAGAATGGAGATGGCGGGAAAGAAACTGTGAGCCTCAGTGGAGCACCACGCCTGCCTTCTCTTCTGGTGCTGAAGTGCCGTTGAGTCAGTTCCGACCGATCGGGACCCTGTATAGGGTTTCTGAGGAGCAGCTGGTGAGCTTGAACCACCGACTTTGCAGTGCAGCACCAGCACTGTGACCCGCTAGGCCAGCTGGGAATGACACCTGTCTTGTGTGTCCTTACAGGAAGTGAATGTTGAATTTGAAGCGCATTCCATCTCCGCTAACGATTATGACGGAATTAAGAAATTACTGCAGCAGGTATTGTCTTCTCTAATAGATGTTTCTTCATTAAAGTTCCCCTCCCACCAAATGCTCAGAAGTCACCTTTTCTCTGAGAATTGCCATCTCTCTCCTATCTGCCCTGGAACAAGAATTGCTTCTCTTGGAGGCCTCCCCTCTCTCGGGCTTTGCCCCAGGCCCGTCCCTCTCCTTGTGTTATTTACTGGAGCTGCTAGCCTGGCCTTCAGTTCATCTCCCCGTTTTGAGGCAGGGAGTTCCGCCACAGCCTGTATTCCTTCACCCTGTATATGTTGGTTTTGGTTCTCCACCCTCAGAGCCTACGGGGTCTCCGTCCCCAAAACCTCTGGGCTGATGCCCCTCCCTGCCCCGCCCCCGGCACCCTCCACATCACCACTGGCCATGCAGTCCCTGAGTTCTGGTTCCTTCAGCTGCTCGGACTCACCCGTGTTTTTGCTTTCCTGTGTGGATTGCATGGTGAGGTCAGCTGGGCCACGTCATTGACGTAACACAGGAACTCCACGCTGTACTGGGGGTTGCCCCCCCTCTGATCTCTGCTCCTTGCAGCTTTTCCTCAAGGCTCCAGTGAATACGGCCGAGCTCACCGACGTCATAACACAGCAGAGTCACATCGGGAGTGTGATCAAGGTCAGCAGGGCAGTGTGCACACCCGGCTACCGCTGGGTGGTGACCGGGAAGGGGGGCTGGCTCCGAGGAGCAGATCCGGGAGGTGGAAGCTAACAGGCCTGAGGAGCGTGAGGTATGAGAGTCGGGAAGGGGTGGAGGGACCACCCGGGTTTCCTTCATGGCCAGGCAGGATCACAGACTCAGCGAAGGGCGGACTAGCAGGAAACCCCCCTGGGATTTGTAGCCAGGACTGCAGATTCAGGTAGAGCCGGCTGGGAGGAGACCATGGTTGGGTCTGTGTGTTGGAGTTGGCGATGTCTAGAGCTTGGGCCTAGCGGAGGGAGTACACACCTTGGAGGATGGTATCTGCTGCCGTTTCCGCTGTTCTGTGGGCCAGCACAGGCAGGTCTGCCCGGGATCCAGGAAGGCACCTTGAGGTCACTTTGTAAGGAGAGAATCGGGGGTGGGAACTAGAAGCTGTCACCGTGACCATGCTGGCTTTCCGTTTCCTCCTGGGACACGAGGTGAGGGCTAGTAGCTGCAGGAAGCAGGTGGCATTCTAGTGCTTGGATCACCGTCTTGTCTGCGCTTGGCCAGTGGTCTGCCTGCAGCTGTTTCTGCGCATGCGCTTCCTGGTCTCCCCATCGGCTCACCCACGGTGACCCGACAGGACCCAGTAGAGCTGCCCCATCGGGTCTCCAAGGCTGTGCACCTTTCCAAAGCAGACGGTCTCATCTTTCTCCTGTGGAGCGGCTGGTGGATTTGAACTGCCACACTTTCAGCTGGCATTCCAAAGCTTAATCTACCATATTACTAGGGCTCCTTATAACCTAGCCTATGGTGACAAACAAACTCCCTTTCATTCTAATGTCTATGCCACTTACCCCATTTTCTGCTGCTTTGCTTTGTTCTAACAGCCAAAATGTATGAAAAATACTTTATATACCTCTTCTATTCATTCCTCAAACACTAGTCTGGCTTTTACCCCCAGAATCACTAAAATTCTGAACCTGGTAAGAGCCACCAGCATCTTTATTATTTTGCTTCCTTCTTAATACACTTCCTTCCTTGCCCCTTCTATTCCCTGGTGCCCAGGCGGCAAGTGTAAGTGACTCTTGGTATCTTTGAGTCTCATTGATGGTCAGGACTGACAGGTGCCCAGGAAGTGTGTGAATTGTACCTGGAGCATGGCTTAGCCCCACGCAGACGGAAAGCCACCTGAAGTAGCTCTGTGTGTCTGGAGTCTGTGATACAGTGAGACTCCAGTAAAGGAAACTGCTAACAACAATCTCGTTCAAGACCTTAGGTCAGGGAGAGATCACCCCGAAAATATAAGAAGGGGAGGGTCCCACAGCAGTTAACATCAACCACAGTTCTGAAATGGTGGCTGTAAAACAAAGGGTTTGTTTCTGATAAGTGTGAGACAACAAATGTGACCTATATTATAAGATTTGGCATTACAGTTCTTCCTAACCAAATACATAAACACGTCATTTTTTTCTTTTTTTTTTTTAAAAATAGCAAGCGACTGTGTCAGAAGACAGCGATGATGAGGTGGATGTGGATGAAGACGAGATCTTTGGTTTCATAAGCCTTTTAAATCTAACAGAGAGGAAGGTTGGTGTCACTGGGCCCCCGTAGGTCCAGACTGCTAGTGTGTAACTCGGGACACATGTGCCTTTTATGTCTGGCATTGAGCTATAAGGATATGTGCTCTTGTAAAATCGTGCTTAATCTTTTTTCAGGGTGAAGGTGTGTGATTTTGTTTTGAACAATCTGGACCCCTTGTAGTCACTTTTGGTGGTTGGGGGAACCCTCGTTTTCGTTTCAGTAACTTGGGCTCTGGTGGGGGGTGGCCCTGGGAGCTGGCTGCATGCCACAGCTGTTAGCTGTTCCAGTGAAGTGCTCACTGTCCAACGTCAAGGGCACGCCCATGTCGTCATGGCTGTCGTAATACAGCTCTGGACTGAGTCACTGAAGAGCACTCATCCCAGCAGCGTCCCATGCAAGTCACACACTAATGTTTCTGGTGAATCTTCTGGTTAGTTCTGTCTGTCTGTAGGAGAGAGATCGACAACTCCAATATGTTTGAGTGCCGATCACGGGAGGATGCCTAGCCAGACATTGTTCCTTTTCAGAAACACCAAAATATATGGTAGACAACACGGTGCGAGGGGGCTTCAGAAGGGGTTGGTGAAAAATGGGAGGAAAAGATTGTGTGATTTTTCTCACATGTTTCCAAGGCTACAGGTGACTGACTTTTGCTTTTTCTCCTGTAAGTGGCGGCCTGCCAGCCAATGCCAGCCTCTCTTTGTTTCCTAGGGGACCCGGTGTGCTGAGCAGATTAAGGAGCTAGTGCTTAGCTGCTGTGAGACGAGCGCTGAGGGGCACGTGCTAGAGCAGCTGGAGCAGCTGCTCGAGGATCCCACCCGGCCCGTGGGCCTCCTCCTGAGCGAGAGGTTCATCAACGTCCCGCCTCAGATCGCCCTGCCCCTGCACGAGCAGCTGCGGTGAGTACCGGACGGGACGGGACGGGACAGGGCAGGCCACACTGGGCCTTTGCTGTAGTGTGATAGGAGGGGAAGAAAAGCCTTTTTTTTGTAGAGAAAACCTTAAAAGGAAGATGCTTTGAAAGATTTCATTGGTATGAAAAGATGAATTTCATGTAAATCATTTTCCTTCTTGACAGTAAGTTTCTGGGCCATAAATGCTGAACCAACTCTGAACGCAGGTCCGTTTCATGGGCATGTCTGAACCTAATGAAGTCATAGTCCTGGTCCCGTTATCGGCTGTTTTGGTTTAGGATGCAGACGTTTCCAGGGCCTGGAAACTGGCCTCGGTCCAGGTTTTGTGGGAAGCACAAAGAGTCACTGTACCAAAAGGAAATGGCTGATGTTCACCTGTTTCAAATGATCATATGATCAAGAGCCAATGATACTGAAGGAAGAAGTCCAAGGTGCATTGAAGGAATTGGCAAAGAACAAGGCACCAGGAATTGAGGGAATAAAAATAGAAATCTTCAAGAAAGTGAGGCGGCACAGGAGGCACTCATTCATCTATGGCAAGAAATTTGGAAGACAACTGTCTGGCCGACTGATTGGAAAAGATCAATGTTTATGCCCATTCCAAAGAGAGGTGACCCAATGGAATGCAGAAATCATCGGACAATGTCTTTGATATCCCATGCAAGTAAAGTTTTCTAAGGTAATACAGAAACAGCGAGACCCGTATTTGTGCCCATTCCAAAGAGAGGTGACCCAATGGAATGCGGAAATCATCGGACAATGTCTTTGATATCCCATGCAAGTAAAATTTTACTAAAGGTAATACAGAAACGGCTGCAAGCATACGTTGACAGCAAACTTCCAGAGGTTCCAGCCAGATTTAGAAGAGGCCGTGGAACGAGAGAATATCAGAAAGGCGTTTATCTGTGCTTTATTGACTATGCATAGGCTTTCAATTGTGTGGATCATGACAGGCTATGGACAACATTGCAAAGTATGAGTATTCCAGAACACTTAATTGTGCTCGTGAGGAATCTGTACATGTACATGGCAATTGTTTATACAGAACATGGGAACACTGAACGGTTTAAAATTAAGAAAGGTGTGCGCAAGGTTATTCAACCTGTATGCTGAGCAAATAATCCGAGAAGCTGAGTTCTATGAAGAGAAACATGGCATCAGGATTGGAGGAAGACTCGTGAACAACTTGCAATATGCAGATGATACAACCTTGCTGAAAGAGAAGAGGACTTAAAATAGTTACTGATGAAGATCAAAGAGCACAGCCTTCGGTATGGATTACATCTCAATTTTTAAGAAAATAAAAACCCTCACCACTGGACCAATAAACAACATTCTTATCAACAAAGACTGAAGTTGTCAAGGACTTCATTCTTCTTGGATCAACTATCAACATACATGGAAGCAGCAGTCAAGAAATCAGATGACGTATTACATTAGACAAATCTGCTGCACAAGACCTTTTTGAAGTGTTGAAGAGCAAAGATGTCAGCTTGAGGACTAAGGTGCACCTGACCCAAGCCATGGTATTTTCAATCACCTCATATGGATGCGAAAGCTGGACAGTGAATAGGGAAGATCGTAGAAGAATTGATACCTTTGAGTTATGGTGTTAGAGGAGAATATTGAAAGTGCCATGGACTGCCAAAAGAACCAACAGATCTGTGTTGGAAGAAGTACAGCCAGAGTGCTCCTTGGAGGCCAGGATGGCCAAACTTCATCTCTCATACTTCAGACATATTGTCAGGAGGGACCAGTCACTGGAGAAGGATATCATGTTTGGTAAGGTGGTGGGTCAGAGAAAAAGAGGGAGACCCCAATGAGATGGATTGGCCAAGTGGCAGCATCGATGGACTCAAACGTGGGAACAATAGTGAGGTTGGCCCAGGAGCGGGCAGTGTTTTGTTATGTTGTGCATAAGGTCGCTATGGGTCGGTACCAACTGGATGCCACCTAACAGCAACAACAGCAGGAGTCCTGGGGTGGCATTGCTGTGGGTTAATGCGTCAGACTGCAAAGCCAATTGAACTGCAAGGTTGGTGGTTCAAGCTCACCAGCTGGTCCTCGGAAACCCTATACAGGGTCGCTATGGGTCGGAACCGACTCAACAGCCCTGAACAACAACAACAACAAGTTTGAGTCTGGCAGCCTTTTGTGCTTTTATATTGAGTTTGTTGTTTCTGATGGGCCAAAGATCACGTTCTCTTGGTTTCACGGGAAGGGAAAGGTGGTCTGCTCGCTCCTGTTCTGACCACGGGACGTTTTTGTGAGGGGCAGCGGGATGCTCGGGGCTCCAGGCTGTGTGACAGAGTGGTTAAAGTGACCCAGACTGTCCAGGTCACGTGTTCTGACACCGGCTTGCTGCTCTCAGTTCAGATCCTCGCGTGTGTTGGCGGTCTGAACCAGGAGCCATGTTACACTGAGTGAATGGCAGACTCATTTGTGCTAAGAATAGTTCAGCAGAGCCCAGCCTGCGAGCATCATCACTCTTATCGACTATAACACTGACTGACTGCACTGAGTTTGGCTTGTCCACTTGACCTTCCCCCAGCCCAGCATGTGAACATGTGTTTCTTGTAGGAAAGAACTGGTGGAGGCACACAGAACCAATAAACCTTGTGGGAAGTGTCACTTCTACCTTCTGATAAGTAAGACATTTGTGGAAACAGGAAAAACCAACGCCCGAGACCAACGGAGCAACCAAAAGACAGAGGAGTTGATGTTTGCAAATGCAGAGGAGGAGTTCTTCTACGAGGTAAGACCACTCGCTCTGTGTGTCTTCGTGTCAGTCAGGGTTTCTGGGCTGTGGTCAGATCTGCTGCCTTCCCATTTCATGCCATTCTTGCGAGTGGGCGCACACTGTATCCCTGTGACCCGCTGTGCCTGGCACACCGCAGGTGCTGAGAATTGGTCATCCCCCCTTACTGCTGCTGAGAGATGGGGTGGGTCATGCGAGATCTGAAGCTACCCCAGGAGGTGGACACTCCCAGGTCCTTTGGTGGATGGTGTAGAAGCAGGGTCATCCTGCTCCTCTGTGCCCTGCTGTCAGTTGATGCCTTCCTCTAGGTGGGTACTTGCGTTTTCTTCTCAGGGTGATGTGTAATGTAGTGGACAGTGTGTCCCGCTCAGGCTTTCCTCCTCTGGAAGGATGCGTAATGTAGTGGACAGCACGTTCCAGAGAATGTGCCCACTCAGGCTGTCATTTGGAAGGACAGAGACTCTGAAAGCAGCGCTAAGGGAACACTTCAGAATTAGTGTTTCCCTGGATGACTCGGCGCTGAAGGAGGCTGTCAGGGGAAGACCTTAGGCTAGCCATCGTGCGTCCAGTGGTCTCCATTCCACTGGTCTGGCCCAGGATTGTGTCAGCGATGGAGTGGGAGTGAGGCTGAGCCACTGCCTCACCTTTGAGTTGGGGCAGCCCCACCCCCACCCCACAGAGTTGAAGAACCTGCCTGCCTTGAGCACCCCTGATGTTACCCCGTTTTCCTTCTGTCTACCTGTTGTTCTGTTGGAATATGCTCTGCCTAACCTAGAGTTTTCTGTTGTGTGTTAGATGGGGCTTGCCCTCTGGTGGTGTGACTTTGTTAACCCGGGTGGTCTCTCTGATAGAAAGCACTCCTGAAGTTAGAAGTTGGCCATTACATGGGGCTTGCCCTGTGGCGGTGTGACTTTGTTAACCCGGGTGGTCTCTCTGGTAGAAAGCACTCCTGAAGTTCAGCTACTCGGTGCAGGAGGAGAGTGACACGTGCCTGGGGGGCAGGTGGTCTTTTGACGACGTCCCTATGAAGCCACTGCGCACGGTGATGCTGATTCCAGCCGACAAGATGAGCGAGATCATGGAGAAGCTGAAAACCCATCTCTCTCTCTGACCCGCTTCCCACCACAGGGATGGGCTTGTTTTATAAACAATGATCCGAAAAACTCAATGGAGATTTGTACTGGAAAACTCATGACTTTATTCAGAGTGAAGTCCTCTACAAAAAGTAGGGCTCTGCCACCATTTCTGCGACACATTTATAAAATGGCTTTTTTTTTTTTTTTTTTTTTCTCATTTGGGTCAAATTATAAATGGGTGATTAAAAACTTTTCCAGTAAGAAGAAAAACATGCGGTAGTGATTTAAAGAACTCAATAAAAACCTGGATTTTTGTAAGTAACACACGAAACGTCGCTTTTCTAGACTGCTGTGTAGGTGCGTTGGCCAGAGCCGGGTGGTCTCGGTAGCTTGCGGTCAGCCAGGACGGTCGAGGCCTCACTGGATGGCGCATCTTTGCTCAGCAGTGGCTTCAGGGCACTTGTCATACATCTTCTGGTCTCTGTTTGCTGTGGACATGGGTGTCAGCCGGTCCACGGCCTGCTGGAGGATGTCCTTGCTCTCGCTCGGAGGCAGGTTACTGAAGTAATACTGCGGCACCAGTTGCATAAACCTATTTGGGGAAAATTATTGTTACTTTGAGTGAGAGGCAACAAGCATTTTGTCTGGGTGCTTAGGGGCCCCAGGGGGCTACCTGGAGCTGGTATTCCGTTTGCCGTGGACAGTGCTGCCTACTCCCGTGGTGATTCTAGAACAAGCAGCTTCTCCAGTGTGAGGGTGACCATCCTCAGAGCCTGGGAGACCCCACAGCTCCCCTCGTGTGTGACGGGGGAGCTGTGTGGGCCAGCTGGTGGTCTCCCTTTCCTAACTGGAGTCCACAGCCAGCTGCGAGCACTGGGCAGGTGTCTACGAGTTCCCTTTGTGCAAGTGGCAGCGGCATCCTCCAAGTGAACCTCCAGACAGCGCCCCCCACCACAGACAGGTCCACCCGGAATTCTCCTCTCTAATCTTCTCAGACAGGAATGGGAGTTTGCTGTCATTCACCCACTGAGTCCAGTCCCACTCACCGCGGCCCTGTCTGGGGTCTCTGAGGCTATAAATCTTTACAGGCACAAATAGCCTCATCTGTCTCTCACAGAACGGCTGGTGGGTTTGAACTCCTGAACTTGTAGCTAGCAGTCCAGTGCATACCCTGTTAAGTGCTATGGAATCAGTTCTGAGCCAGCGATCTTGTATCGTTTTCAAGGATCAGTTGGTGAGTTTGAATCGCCAACCTTTTGGTTAGTAGTCCAATGTTACACCCGAACTCCCGGTGCTCACCCTAGAACCCTGCATGTGGGATGTGCTCAGATACCGTGCCCTCCCTTTAACTGGTGATGGGAACCTACAGCTCAGGAGAGATCTCGGAGGTGGTCCTGATGTAGTTGTTCTCGGCGATGCTGAATTTGTGGAAGAGGACCCACTCTGGCAGCTTCCTGCTGAGCGCGTAGGCAGACAGGGGGTGCAGCTGGGCCACCTGCTTGTGCGTCAGCATTAGGTAGTTGCCAGACCCGTCGACATCCCGAGCAATCTATAAGGCCAGGGTCAAACAGAAAGCCTGCCTTTGTAAGGAGATAACACACAAGGTTCAGCCAAAGTCTTACACAGACTACAAGGGGGCTTCATACCACATTTGTGGGAAAGGTCTGTTTTTTCAGTCTGCTTTTCCATGCCCCCGTAGTTGATAAGTGTAAACCCCCAGCCCTGGTCTCCTGATTTCAATCGAGGAAATGAGACACAAACACTTTGTACCTGAATCTAAGCACTGAAAACCAGCAGTCATTACCAACTCTGTTCTCAAATGTCAAGTGCTTCCCACTTGGACAAGTGTGCTCACGTCCTCTGTGAAGAAACCACACAGGGCAGGAGTCTTCCCACACCGGGCCGTCAGGGTCCCAGGCCACTGCTTTGATGTGTGTGCGCTGGTGTTTCTGTGGGAAGGGGCTACAGCAGGGGCTCCCTTCACTGGGTGGGGGTCTGTCTGGTGGATGTGAACATGGACGCCTCCAGCTGAACTAATTCACAGACGGGTGGGGCAACTGGACACGAGCTGAGGTTCAGTGCCACGGGTCATTGTTCAGTAACGTTCCCTATGTAATAGAAGCATCTTCGGTCCTTCTAGCTGAGTCCTGAGGGAACAGCCTATACTTCTATTCTAATTTCAAGAGACCCCAATAGCATAATCGTCCTGACAGCGTGTCTTGAGTAGGTGGTGGTGGTAGGGGCCGTGGAGTCAGTTTTGACTCGTCATGACCCACGACCTCCAGAACAAACGCCCCGTCCTGCACGGCCCTCACCATGCGTTGCTGCGTTTGAGCCACTGCTGAGGACTCCCATGACAGTCTTTACCGAGTCTGCCTCTTGGTGGTCCTCGGCCTTGTGGCACGGGACTGTCTCTCCTGCTGACACGACACTGACGTAGGAAACTGTCCACACTCACCTGCACAAAGTAGCCGGACAGAAGCGCCTTTTTGATGTTCAGGACGTTCTCCTGGGCGCCAAAGGCTGGCTCCGCATAGGGCAGCTCAATGCGCCGGATGATGTCAGTGAGCTCACTGCGGATGGCGTCTGCTGCTCTGAGAGCCGGCCAGTGGAGGAAGTGGTCCTGACACCACCTCTCTACACAGTCTGGGGAGAGGGGACAAAGCAGGGCAGTGTAGGCCCACCTGTGACCGCGGGGAGGCCCTGAGGGGACCGGCTGGGAAGGGAGCTGAGGTTCTGTGGAAGTGGTTCTCAGGGGCAGTGTCTCGTGGGCAGCGTGAGGGTGCACATAGCTACAGAGACTTCCTCTGGGACGTGAGGCTGATGCAGGAACGGGGGGCAGGGGGCTGCCAACTCTGCATTAGTATTTGGTCCTCCCCCTTCCCCCCATTCTGTATGATGGATCCCGAGTTTGACCTTGCTCTTCTTTCTTGCACAAGGCTTTGGTCCAGTGGTCAGAGCCATGTCACCCACCCCTTCCTGTCCACTCAGGCCCACTGTGAGCAACAAGAACAGGCACTTGGCCAAACGGTGCCTGCCCACTGGCCCCTGCGCTTTCGGGCTCCACTAGCAACATCGTCCTCGAGGAGTCTGGGAAGTCCTGACCCTGTGCTTTCAGTCTCAGACCACCGAGCACAGCAAAGGGGCATCATCAGGCTCCATGGGCATCGATGTGAGAAGACATGTCTGAGGGGATGCCCCTGCTGCCCGCCCTGCCCTGCTCTGGGCCCACGTGTCTGAGGGGACGCCCCAGCTGCCCGGCCTGCCCTGCCCTAGGTCCACGTGTCTGAGAGGGCACCCCTGCTGCCCGGCCTGCCCTGGGTCCACGTGTCTGATGGCATGCCCCTGCTGCCTGGCCTGCTCTGGGGTCCCCTCCACCACATTCCCCCGCCCTCAGGGGGGGAGCAGACGCCAGAGGTGCTTCAGCCCCCTTGTCACTGGGCATCCTCGTGAGAACCAAGCCATCCTGACACCTGGTCCCCCCAAGCCTGTGCCTTTCCTCCCGACGCCAACCAGTGTCCTGTGCACTGCAGACAGGAGGGTAGAACAGCTAGGTGGGTCCATGGGTCCCATGCATGTCCCATTCCTGGTGGGGCTGAGCATCGAGATGCTGAAGAGGCTCTTGGGCAGACACCTGGGGGGCACCGGGGGCCTCGCCGTTCACTGGGTGGGGGTCGGGGGCCTAGAAAAGGGGGTGGAGTCAGCGCTGACTCACGCTCACTGGAGGCGTGCAATGCTGTGTCCTGGTAGGCCTTGTAGATATTGATGAGAGTGAAGTGATCGCCGTCGGGATGGAGAAAGGTCTTCCAGCAGCTCAGGGCTGCCTCCTCCGAGCCACGCGGCAGCTGGGAGAAGCAGTCAGGGGCTTGAAGGTACAAAAAGAGGCGGTCAGTGAGACCCATGCGATGACCGCTGGTCAGTGCATACAGGGACGGTCAGTGATAACTGACATCACGTCCCCTGGTCAGTGTGCAGAGGGGTGGTTAGTGAGACCCACATCGTGACCCCGGTCAGTGCATAGAGGGACAGTCAGCGATAACCAACATCACATCTCCACACAGAGGGGTGGTTAGTGAGACCCACGTCGTGACCCCGGTCAGTGCATAGAGGGACAGTCAGCGATAACCAACATCACATCTCCACACAGAGGGGTGGTTAGTGAGACCCACGTCGTGACCCCGGTCAGTGCATAGAGGGACAGTCAGCGATAACCAACATCACATCTCCACACAGAGGGGTGGTTAGTGAGACCCACGTCGTGACCCCGGTCAGTGCATAGAGGGACAGTCAGCGATAACCAACATCACGTCTCCACACAGGGGTGGTTAGTGAGACACACGTCGTGACCCCGGTCAGTGCATAGAGGGACAGTCAGCAACACCAATGTCATGTCCTTTGGTCACTGTGCACAGGGGTGGTCACCAATACCAATGCCTCAGTCAAGGTGCAGAGAGAGGGAGAACTGAAGGCTGAATTTCAGCATGGTCACCAAAGACAAGTGCCCAGGAAGGTGGAGCTGGTCCTGCTCTTCCTGGATGGGCACCAACTGCCTCATGCATGTAGGGAGCTGGGGATGAGAGGCCCTAAACTAACCCTAAGCCAGTGTGGTCCACTGGGGGGCGCTCGGGGCCCAGCCCTAACCTAAGCTTAAGCCAGTGTGGTCCACTGGGGGGTGCTCGGGGCCCAGGCCTCTCCCTGCAGTCCTGGCTATCCTGACAACAAAACTCACTAGAGTTGGATATCGATTCTTCTCATGTGACCAAAATTATTATTATTTTAATCTTTCAATTTAAAAACGTGATGCACTTCTTGGACATGGGATCATTTCACAAAAGGTGCCGAGTATAAAACAAGAGCCCCACCTCCCAGGAATACCTGTCAGCATTGCAGCGATGGTCAGCATCTCGTCGACACAGTCAAATTCACAGGATGCCAGGATGGCCTTGGAGAGCTGCGGGTCCAGAGGGAACTCGGACATGATGATCCCAAACTCGGAGAGGTTCCCGTCATTGTCCAGCGCTGCCAGGTAGTCCAAGTCCTCCAGAGCCTGCATTAGGCTTTCTGGTGCTGGCAGAGAGGAAACCAGTGCTTACCTGCCAGATTCCTCGAGCAAGGAAGACACTGCAGGCCCAGGAAGATGGAGGTGGCCACACACAGTGCTGGGGAGATCTGCGAGTCCCCTTGGGCAGCTTGAGGGTTAGAAGGAGCCACGTGACAGGGTGGAAACCACAAGCCTACGGCTCCCACAGGGCTGGAAGCATGGAGACCTCGTGGTTCACGGGGCCACAAGAAAACACAGCGGGTACCCACTCCCCCAGCACTGCTCCACTCCTACTAATAAACCTTCAGAGCAAGTCCTGAGGTGGTTAGGTTCCAAAGGCTAAGTGAGTATTCAAAAGCCCAAATTATTTGAAAATGGAGGACAACCACACCAACTGGAGGAGAGCCCTATCACTACCTAACTACCAAACCATGGAGTCACGGCCCAGCCGAGCTGACACCCTTACCGTCAACAGCCAGCCTTCATCACCTGGCACCCTAGCATTGACTGCCAGCTCCTCAACATCAGTGAGAAAATGTTAGGGGCCATAGAATTGGTTCCGACTCAGCAACCGTGTATGAGGTTTCCATGGAGTAGCTGCTGGGTTTGAACTGCCGACGTAGCTGTTCCAACTGACTTTGCAGTCCAATGCATTACCCTACAGGGCCACACCAGGAGGTCTAGTCGGGCACACTTTTTACTACTGTGAATGTGAAATGTCAGCCAGCGTCATAGCTGCTAAGTGGAACTGCATTCCAGGACGAGGCTCAAGAGTAAGTTGTTGCTGTTAAATGCCTACAATTCGGTTCTTACGCACGGTGACCCAGTATAGGGTTTCCAGGGAGCGGCTGGTGAATTCAAACCGCTGACCTTGTGCTTCAGACCGATCTTGCGGTCCAGTGCCTCATCCACAGTATCACACTAAGAATCTAAAGGACTACAAAAACATCCAGCACCCAGTAAAGTGTACAATGTCTATCATCCAATCAGACGATGAGGCAGGGGAACACGCCCCATGATACAGAAAAATTTAATCAGGAGAAAAGGACGCACACAAGGGCATTCAGAATTGTTTGCCAGGGCAAATAAGGTGGTGGTGAGTTGGTTTTCTCCGTCTCTTCATTTAGCTTTCAAATATTTACAATATCGATCATGGGTGATGTTCATAAAAGCCAGGGGCTTCTAAAAGTTCATGGAAAGATGGGATGTACAGAGACAGGCGTTCTGAAGCCTCCATGGAGATGCTTAATCTCCACTAGTCATTCCAAGCCAGGCCTTCTCCTTGTCCTTGAAGAAGAGCTATATGAAAACAGACACATGGTTTTCACCTATCTGACATATGACAGGTGACTCAAGGACACGGAGCCACTTGTGGAGTATGTAGCACTGTCCTGCCCCACCCCTGAAGCCAGGGGCTCCTGGGAGCCCCTAAATCCTGTGTGTGTGTGTGTGTGGTGGGCAAGAGAGGTAGAAACGAGGGCTCCAAGAAGCAGCCTAGCCTTTCTGCACTCAGAATTGAACAACAGGAAAATTCTACCGAGTTGCTTTCCAAGCTTTGACCTAAAGCCATTCATCTAAATGGCAGGCAAACTGTAACTCAAACCCAGGCACACACTGAGACTTGGTAAGACTGAAAATGCGAGAGGCCTCCGCTGCCGTGGCTTGAGACCTACCTCATGGATGCTGGACAGACACACATGAGGCTGAGGGGTGGAGAGAGACCCAGATGTGTGTGAAGACTCAGGCCCAGGTTTAGTCTCCAACTGGGAGAAAATACACTGAACCTTCCCCACTGCCTCTGATTTCTGTATCAAGACTTAACACAGAGCAAAGCTCACGACTCCCCAGCAACATTCCTGCCGTACAGAGGTTGGCTTCATGTCTTCTGACTGGGCCCTGGCTCTATTACTTGTTCTTTCTTGGGGGCTCCTGGGTCAACCCTATTAGTAAAAACGAGACCTTAAGATGCCAGCACCCCTGGGAAGAAAACAGACAGACGAGTTTGAGAAAAGCGTCCACACGTCCCATTGGTAAGCGGAGAGAGGACAGGCAGCAGGCAGTCCATAAGGGAGGGTTGCATGGCGTGGCAACAGAAAACAAGTACCTGAGATTCAACAGGGCAAGTCAGGGAGAGCAGTGCAAACTTAGTGACCAGAAGCTGAAGGGGGCTTTGAACCAAATGGGTTCCTTCGGGGCTGACCCCTGCTAGAAGTTCCATCCCAGCCTAGAATCGGGAGCTTCAGTTTCCCAAGACCCCAGGTGCTATGATAACTACATGTCTACAAGAATCAGCTGGGGCGCTCGTCAAACTCTGATCCGGTGTCTCTGCTCAGCAGGGCGTTGGCACAGAACAACCCGGTTCTGAAGCCCTGCTTTTCAGCCACCACAGCTGCTGCATCCCAGGCCACAGGATCGCTGGCAATTGTCCCTGTTAGTATCTGGCTTGACAACCAGGTCCTGTCCCCCAAGGGCACCTTCTCATATGTGTGCCCTGGAGTTGAGTTCAGTGGCTGCACACAAGGTGACAGCAACAACTTGGGGAGGATTCTGCGCCTGTCCCCAACAGAGAGACAGTTCATGAGTTCAGACTGGACGGGTGAAGGAAGCAGAATGCATGAGAGTCCACCGTCGTCCATCCAGCTGAATGACCTTTTACACCGTCCACACCTTCCTGCCCACCCAGAGCCGGAAGGTACTGGTAAGTCTCTGTCCGATTTTGCTTGCTTTTCTGGACACTGAGTGCAGAAGGTCGTCCATCATGGGCGGTGTCTGTCCTCTTCTTTACTACCACCCCTATCTTAATCCAGGTAGACCCCGGGGCATGGGCGACGTACGGGCCTGTGTGGGTCTTAAGTCACAGGTGGATTCGGTTCTCATTTAGCCTGACTTTAGTGCAGGCAAAGACCCAGAGCCTTGCTAGTCACCCCCAGCTGCACCTGTGATGAATTTGTGGCGAGTTCAGACATGTCACAGTGAGGGCGGAATGATCAGCACTGGACTGCGAACCACAGGATGGTGACTCAAAGCCACCACCTGCTCCTCAGAAACTTTATATGCAGTCGCTGTGAGTCGGAACCAGTTTGACGGCATTTAAGGGCAACCACAACACAGGATGAGTAGTCCGTAGGTTGGACATCTGTAACGCCAGGGACTGACTGGAAGCAACATTCTGTGCAGCCTCTAAACACGTACCTGGGTAAGGCTGGCACTGTGGCCTCTGTGAAAGGAATGTTAGCTGATCTGCTGAACTCTCAGTTGTTTGGGGGGGGCGGGGGAGACTGCCGGTCACATAAATCCGGCCTCTTCCTATGAGGCTCTGAGCTACTTGTCCATATATGTTTATAGAGTGACTCCTGGTGTCGCATTGTAGGAAAAACACTGGACTGCAAGGTCAGTTTGAACTGTGAGGTCAGTGGTTCAAGTTCACTAGCTGTTCCTCCAAAACCCTATACAAGGACACTATGGGTCGGAACAGACTCAATGGTATTTCACAACAACTATGTATACCATTGCTTCCAACACGAGTTAAGAGTGAATCCAGTTCATTTCAGGATGGCGTGTGGCCACACCATCTGTGCTCTCTGTGGCACAGTGAAGCAGTACAGGAGAGACATTGGGTGGACATTGCCAGCGGCCACTTGTCAGTTGCGATTTGCCTGTGACGTTCTTGACGTTATGGAGACTTTGCCTGTGATGTACTTGACTTGCCTGTGACGTGTGTGAAGAGATGTTTAGCAAACTAACAGGTGTGATGCCTAGGGTGAACAGATGAGCAGCTTCCAAGAATCTAGTGGGTTTCTTGGGAGCAGCACTGTGGCTGATGGAAAAGGTCACGCCTTCTGAAACTTTGAGGTCACCAGAGTCCTCCTTCCCAGTGAAGACCGCAACCAGAAGAGTGCTTGACTTCACAAGTCGGAGGGCATGGCTGGAGGAATCTGGCCGCCAGAATCTTGTAGCTTGGGGGACCGTGTGACCCCCTCCTCCATGTCCCTCCTCTGTCCCTTTCTGTCTAACCACCGTTCTAATCAGTCTATGAATTTCTACATTAAAACGATGGATCTGTGTGCCCCACACACATTTCACTGTTTCCTGTCACATTCTTGGACCATTTCTTTCCTCAGCACTCTGCATTCAGACAGCCAGGTTTATCACCAGTATGCTCACTACACAGGCTCGTTAGGAAGGCAGGAAACCTCTGTTTTCCAGGTGGTGGTTGTTAAGTACCATCAAGTTAGTTCTAACTCATATGACCCTGTATAGGGTTTCCGAGGTTGAGCAGGAAGCCTCATCTTTCTCCCATGAAGCAGCTGGTGGGCTCAAACCATGGACCATGTGCTTTGCAGTCCAGTGACTACCATATGAAATTGCCACTTTAAAACAGTGGAGGTTGGAAAATGTCCTCAGAACAGAGTAGTTAGGACGCAGAGCTCCTTGACTGGGGTCAGACGCTGCACTCACTTTTCTGGGGGCAGAGTTAGACCACACTTCAGAGGGATGGTTCCTGTCTGCTCTTCTACGTCCGCCCTGCAGGCCTCTGCCAATGCCCAGCCCCCTCCCTTTCCTCAGTTTGGAAAAGATATCTCCAAACCAGCTGCTCTCTCCCCACCTGAAGCAACGAGGAAAGACGAAAACCAAGGATGTGAGAAAAGAATTCAAAGTGCAAAGAGACCACACGAACCTCAGCCTCCATGATCCTGACATCAGAACTAGATGGTGCCCAGTGACCACTGCTGACCCATCTGAAAGGAATCCCAACAGAAGGTGCTGGACGGAGCGGGAGAAGATGTAAAACAAAACTCAAAATCATAAAAAAGACCAGGTTTACTGTCAGAAACACCCCCAAAGCCATGGGGCTTAGTCACCATTCAGGTCTGGAAAGGAACTTGCCCCCATGGATCAATAACTAGGTATTCAGTAAGACCAGTGAGGTGCCCACTCCGTACAACTACCAGCCAAACGAAATCAAAAGGACAGCATTTGCCCAGGGCTAAAGCTCAGAAGGTCTGGTGTGGCGCCGTAGGATAAGGACTCCATCTCAAGGTTGGTTTGAACTGCAAGGTCGGTGGTTCAAACTCACTAGCCGTTCCTCAGAAACCCTATACAGAGTCACTATGAGTTGGAACCGATTTGACGGACGGCACTTAACAACAACAAAGCTGGGAAGGCAGGAAAGGAGGAGGGATGGGAGCAGTAACCCAGGGAGGAAGTGGGAAGAGCGCTGTTACCTTGTGCGGACTGCAGTCAATTTCACGGAACAACATGTGTGTGAGTTGTTTAATGGAAAACCAACTGACTCTGTAAACTTTTACCCAAATCACAATAAAAACTTAAACATTTTTTAAAAAGGCAAATGTTCCCTGTGGGCAGCTCTGCTCTGTCCTGTACTATGGCTGAGAGCTGGACGTGGCTTGATTGTACTCCACAACAATACTCAGATTCTATGTGAACAGAAGAGTACATAAAGGGAAACAGGACCGCGAGCTGGGAGCTGGGAGACTTGCGCCTCTCCCCAGATCCTGGGCCAGCGGGGAGAAGTGGGGGAGGGCCTCGAGAACCCATTCGTGGCCTTCATGATGTGCCTGGCCTCCTGGGGACCATGCTTGGAGCCTTGGCCTCCTCCACACAGGCTCTCGGGGGCATTGCGACCCCCTGGTTTCTAGGAAGTAATGTGGCCGAATGCTGAAGAGGATGCTACCACATGCTGAGCGTCACCTTCTGCATTTGGGTGGGACTTGCTGGCCTCACAGAGACCACTGCAGTATCCGGTGATGTAACAAGACTGGGAAGCGATCCAACAGCACTTCACAACCATAGGTCCGTATACACTGAAAAATATGGTTCCTACACGGACAGGCAGGTGTTGAAGTAGACAGGAGTGAGCGGAGCATGGGTGGTTTTCGTACTTCCCCTTAGCGGTGGGTTTGCTGACGTTAAACAGCTGACAGGACAGCCTCGCTGACAGGACAGCCAAAGCAGCAGCTCGGTCGCATGGTGACTAGCTGCCTGTCCTCTTCTCCTCAGCCTCTACACACGCTGGTGGTTTCTAACAATGCAACGGGAGCAGCCCCAGCCCACTCGGGTCTGGATCAGACACAGGACCCTCCCGGTGTGAGCAAGCAGCCACGGCCCACTCGGGTCTGCCATCAGACAAGGAGTCCCCTCCGTAATGATAAAGTCTGTCCTCAGACGGTACCTCCCATACAGACAAGTCTGACCTAACTTTTATAAAGAAGTAGAATTCTCGTGACTCTTCACAGGTGACAGTTTGAGTCATGAGGAAGGACAGTCCACTGCTGCCCCGCTGGTCCTGACTTACAGTGACCCTGAAGAACAAAGTAGAACTTCCCCATGGAGTTTCCTGGCTGTAATCCTCATGGGGAGTCCTGGTGTGGCACTGCAGGATAATGCACGGACTGCAGGGTCAGTGGTTCAAATCTACCAGCTGCTCCTTACAGGACACTATACAGGGTCACTATGAGTGGAAACCAACTTGACAACACTTCACAATAACAGCAACAATCCTTAGAAGAAGCACACTGCTACATCTTTCTCCTATGGAGTGGCTGCAGGTTTGAACCACTGACTTACTGGTTAGCAGCTGAGTGCTTAACCACTCTGCCACCAATGCTCCTGATTAATGCATAGAGTCAAAACCAAACCCTTTGCTGCCTAGCCGATTCCGCCTCAGAGTGACCTTGTAGGACAGAGGAGAAAGACCTATAGGATTTCCTAGGGTGGAAATCTTTACTGAAGTAGACAGCCACATCTTTCTCCTTTAGAGCAGCTGAGCGCTTTAACCACTGCCGTACCTGGAGTCCTGAAGGACCACCTGCTCACCTAGAAACAGCTAATGCTGCCAACAACCCCTCTATCCCCTCTGCTGACTTCTGCCCGACACTGCCACACACCCCTCACCCTCGCATCTGCCACTTGGGACACTTGCTCACACGTCTGCGACTTTCCTCTGAACTACTCTTAAGGAACTTTCTTCTCTAATGGAAAGGAAGCGAGCTCTGGTGGCTCTGTAGGAGAATCACTGGGCTGCGAACCACAAGGTCGGGGGTTCGAGTCCCCTAGCCACTCCATGGAAGAAAGAACAGGCTTTCTGCTCCCACAAGGACGTACAGTTTCAGAAACGCTACACAGGGTCACTATGAGTCAGAACTGACTTGACGGCACCTTACAACAACAGAAAGGATGATGGGTCCTGGTGCTTTAATGGTTAAGCGCCAGGCTGCTAACTAAAGGCTGGCAGTTCACATCCACCCAGCAGCTCTGTCATCAGGACTAGAGTGGTGTGGGGTGGTTCTGAGTCAGAATGGGAACAACCCGAGGGGGAGGGCGGAGCTTCCCTACAAACCCAGCACCCCATGCCTCACTGCCGAGGGGAGAGCTGGCTCTGCCGGGAGCTACCTGGCTGGTTCATGAAGTCGCAGTGGCCCAGGCCAGCGATGTCCACCCTCTTCATGAAGAGCACCATGCTGGTCAGGCTGGCCTCCTGCATTTCTGCCGGCTGCAGGGGCTTCATGGTTCTCGAGGCAAAGTCTTCAGAGTACAGACAGAAGAGCTTGCCTGTGAGAGACAAGGGGGGCCGTCACGCACTCATGAGCCCTCATGCCGGCCGCGCCATCCCCTGCGGGGCCCCGAGCTACCTGAAGACGAGGGTCCGAGAATCTGCTTGCGGATCTCTGCTTGGCTCTGGCTGATGGGCTGCGTCACCAGCGAGTCGGCTCGGATTCTGGGGTTGTACACCTAGAAGTGGAAAGACTGCACACGTCACACGAGCCCACGGGGAGTCGGCGGGCTGCTGGCACCAGCCCTGGAGTGGTGGCTGCATGCGCTCTGAACAACAGTAAATACAGGACGTCGCAGTGAAATCGTCAGGCTCTCACTGGGGTGGCCACAGACTCACGAGCCACCCAGGGGAGGATCACTGTTTCTTCAAACCTCTCCTCCACTCACCGCACCCTGGGGTCTCTCCTTAGCATGTGCTGAGCGTGCCCATGCCAACAGCTAACGTGGGACCCACACAGGGAATCAGCAGCACTGTTCTCTGAGCAGTGACTGACACAGGCCAGCCCAGCCCACATAGGGCACCTCCCTCACAGTGGGGCTCACCTGTTAACAGCAGGGCAAGGCGATTTACACAACCCACCATCTCCCCGAGGGGCAAATGCCTCAACACAGGGAGGTCCCGCTCAGCTCTCAGGATCTTTCAGAGCTTGAGCTGCCCTATTCCATTTTTTTCTCATTTTTCATTTAATCTGTACACACACAGTCAGTTCTGACTCATAGTGACCCTGCAGGTCAGGAAAGGCCACTGCATCGGGTTTCTGAGACTAACTGGTTACTGGTGCCTCTAGCCTTATCTGCGTGCTGGTGGGTTTAAACCACTGACCTTGCAATTAGCAGCACGGCGTAATCCACAGCATAACCAGGGCTCCATATTAGAAAAAGTTCATGAAAAAATGGAGTTAATTCCATTTATCCAAGAACTTTTAAAAGCCCCCTCATATATGTATGTGTGTGTGTTTAGTGTCGCTGAGTTGGTTCCTTCCCTCTTCTGTGCACAACAGAAGCACACACGGCCTTCATGAGAGAAAAGGACTGACTTTAGTGCTTTAGGGGTGGTACCTTCCCTCAGACGCCCCCTCTGGCACTTCAGTGGACTCGGTCAGTGTAGCCCTCGGTGGTCAGAACGCTAAGGAAGGGCAGTGGCACAGGCCGAAGAGTCGGGGGTCTGGCTGCGCTCACTGTTTGGGGCCCAGAAGGCTCAGCTCCCATGGACCTCACCTCGCAACTGGGTGCTAGTTACCTTTCTTCTCTCCACTCCCACGTCGATGACGAATCGGACAGTGTTGCTACAGATCAGAGACTCCCCGGAGCTGGTGGTCAGCACAACTCTTCTCTGAGACACCTGGCCACTTTTCTCAGTGTCCTCGTTGGGCTTGAACAGGGTGCATCTCTCTTGTGGATACAACGGCACCACCAGAAGTTCTCCAAGATCTGGGTTTAAGTTAGAGCCCTCGCGACAGACAATTTCATAGACCTTCCCAATATCCTGAAGTGAGAAGGGAACAGCATTGCTGAGAAACAAGCAACCGCAAGCCCACTTCATGCTGTTCACAAGTCTGAGTTAAAGCTGACCTCAGGGAATCCATGCATCATGTGTGCTGGAGAGAGAAGCCTGCCGGGATTAACGTGTCACACCAGTCACGGGAAAGGTGTCACTGGGCAAGAGCGCTGCTTTGGGGACATTACATAAAATTTATAAGCAATTTCATTGCTTTCTGTCCAAAGCGTGTGTCCTCTTCTGAAATGGGCTATCTCTACCATTATGCATCTATATTGCTATTTTTCTAGCTTACTGTAAATTCTCATGTCCATTAATAATGTTGCTGCTGTTAAGTGCTATGTAGTCGGTTCCTGAGCAGCAGCTGGTGGGTTTGACCGGCTGGCCTGTGGTTATCCTATCGTACCACCCCAGAACTCCCCAGTGACAATGACAGGTACACAAAAGGTATTCCCGTAGCACTGACAACCCCTCACTCTGCTTTAAGGGTTACAGAAACAAAATCTTCATCATCCAACTGCTGAATTTCCTACAAAAGCTCACATGCCTCATATTCCATCGTCAGGGTCTCCTTCTGGGCCCCGTCAGCTTTTTAAAATAGTAGGAAGGCCATGCAGGTAAATACTCAACTGCTGTTTACATTTTTACATCGCTGCATGATGCAGACATTTAGAAACACCCTCTTTCGGTGCTTCCCAGTCAAATACACTGATAAAAGGAAATCAGAACATTTGCAAGGGCAAACAAAAACCAAGAACACTTACACAGAAGTAATCAAATCATTGGTATAAAAATGTTCAAAAGAGACTATTTCTCAAATCATAATTTTGGGCACCTTCTATGAAGTCAATGTTATTTCATGTGACTCTTGCTCCTTTTTAATCCACGTCAAAAGGTTTACCTTCTTAAGGGCCTAACAGACTACCACGTGCAAGAATCCCTGTTTAGATTTCTAAAACAGAAAACACGTAGGTAGAAAAAAAAGGATGTCCCATGGCCACTAGCGTTGTTCAGTCTTCCATTTCTCGAGGTCACTTCTCCTTCCAATAAGAGTATGGAAAACTCAGTCAGACATAGTGAAGGGAGGGATGCAGTACCAAGAAAGATGAAAGAAGGCCCACCAGTGCACGGAACATTCCCTAGGAAGACCTCCACAACAAAGACACAGTGGGGAAAACTTAGAGTGTCTGAGACTGATGGGACTAGACATTAGCACAAATCCTACTGAACTGACTTCACATTTTGTTTTCAGGTTGACAAACAGTGAAGTGATCAAACACAGTGCATTGTGAACATTAGAGCTCAAAGGCTCCACTCCACACCAAGATACAGAGCAGCTTGTGGGCCCCAGGGATGAGCTCACCTGGGTGAGAGCTGAGCACCTGAGCAAGAGACGGAGAGGGACAGGGAAGGAGGGAGACAGAGAGTGAGAGCTCCACTCTGCACGTTAACCCACCCCAAACTAGCTCACCAAACCAAAAGGACAGAAAAGATGTCCCCGTTTTACACTCTATTTCCCACCATTAAAAAGTGGCAATGGGTGGAGTCCCATTAGACAGCTTGGGTTTGCTGTCCTATGCTATTTGAGTGGTATGGAAGGTTTTACAAGTTTTATAAAGAAATCAAGAACATTTCATACAGCATGAGAGAGAACGTGCTCAGTGGCTGTGAGTGAGCATGGATTCCAGAGCAAGACAAGGCTCTCACAAGACAAATTCCAAGACCTTATGAGCGGATCTATCTTAATGGCAATCCTGATGTTGTTGGTGTTGTTGTTGTTAGGTGCCACTGAGTTGGTTCCGATCCTGTACCAACCATCCACACAATTGTTTTGCTTGAACCCACTGCTGCTGCCACTGTGCCAATCCATATATCTCTGGGGGTCTTTCTCTTTTACCCTGACCTTCCCCTTCTACCAAGCACGATGTCTTTCTCTTGGGACTGGTCCTTCTTGATAATACATCCAAAGTATGAGAGATGAAGTCTGGCCATCCTGGATTCTAAGGAACATTCTGGTTGTACTTCTTCCAACACAGATCTGTTTGTTCTGGCAGTCCGTGGGACTTTTAATATTCTTCTCTAACATCACAACTCAAATACATCAATTCTTCTAGTCTTCCTTATTCACTGACCAACTTTCACATGACTACGAGGTTACTGAAAACACCCTGGCTTGGTTCAGGCGCACCTAAGTCCTCAAGTGGACAGCTTTGCTCTTCAACACTTCAAAGAGGTCTTCTGCAAGAGCTCTGCTTAATGCAATATGTCTTTTGATTCCCCCCAAGTGTTGACAGAAGGATCCAAGTAAAATGAAATCTCTCACAACTTCAATCTTTTCTCCATTGATCATGATGTTATTTATTGGTCCAGGGTGAGGATTTTTGGTTTCTTTACACTCAGGTGCAACCCATACTGAAGGCTATGGACTTTGATCTTCATCAGTAAATAGTTTAAGTCCTCTTCACTTTCAGCAAGCAAGGTTGTATCATCTGGATTATCACAGGTTGTTAATGTGTCCTCCTTTAATAAAAAGAATACAACCCTGATTTTAAGCCATTCAGTGTCCCCTTGTTCTGTTCAAACAACTGTCTCTTGGTCTAGGTACAGGTTCTTAGGCACAATCAAGTGTTCTGGAATACTCATTCTTCGCAATGTTTTCCATAGCTTGTCAAGATCCATACAGTCGATAATAGCCTTTGCACAGCCAATAAAGTACATGTAACCTTTTTTGGCATTCTCTGCTTTCAGCCAAGGTCCATCTGACATCAGCAGTGATATCCCTCACTCCACATCCTCGTCTGAATCCAGTTGGGCAGTTCCCCATCACTGTACTGTTGCTGCCATTTTTGAGTTATCTATAGTACCAGCGGTTCCGCGGGAGAAAGATGAGGCTTTCTGCTCCTGTAAAGATTTACAGCCTCGGAAACCCTGTGTAGGGTTGCTATGAGTCGGAACCAACACCACGGCACATAACAACAACAAATAGTAGCAAACTTTTACTTGTATGTGATATTAATGATATTGCCCAATGATTTCTGCATTCCGTTGGGTCATCTCTCTTTGAAATAGGCACAAATACGGATCTCTTCCAATCAGCTGGCCAGGTAGTTGTCTTCCAAATTTCTTGGCATAGATGAGTGAATACCTCCACTGCTGCATCAGTTTGTTGAATGATTTCAGTTTATATCCCATCAACTCCCAGAGCTTTTTTTTTTTTTTTTTTGCCAATGCCTTAATTGTACTTTGGACTTCTTTCTTCAATACCATTGGCTCTGGATGATATGCTACATCTTAAAATGGTTGAACAGTGACCATCTTTGTGGTACAGTGACTCTGTATTCCTTCCATCTTTAAGATGTTTTCTTTATCCTTCAATATTTTGCCCAGAGAATCCTTCAGTATTGTCAGTCAAGGCTTGAATTTTTTCTTCAGTTCTTTCAGCTTGAGAAATGCTGAGTGTGTTCTTCCCTTTCGGTTTTCTAACTCCAGGTCTTTGCACATTTCATTATAATACTTGACTTTTCTTCTCAAGCTGCCCTTTGAACTTTTCTGTTCAGCTCCTTTATCTCCTCATGTCTTCTATTTGCTTTAGCATCTCTATGCTAGAGAGCAAGTTTCAGAGTCTCTTCTGACATCCATTTTTGTTTTTTCCTTCTTGCTTATCTTCTTAATGACCTTTTGCTTTCTTCCTATATGATGTGAGTGATGTCAGCCCATAACTCTTCTAGTTTTGGGTCAATAGTGTCTACTGCAGCAAATGTGTTCTCGAGATGATTTCTAAATTCAGGTGGGATATGTTCAGGGTCATATTTTGGCTCTCGTGAACTTGTTTTAATATTCTTCCATTTCAGCATTAACTTGCATATGATCAATTGATGGTCCATTCCATAGTCGACCCCTGGACTTCTTTTGACTGCTAATATGGAGCGTTTCCACCCTCTCTCCCATAACTCAAATGCCTTTAAAATAAGTGTTTGCAATGAATACATCATTGGTCTTAGAAATTCTATCACGGGATCTCCAGCATCATTTCTATCACCAAGGCCATATTGTCCCACTACTGATCCTTCCTCTTTGTTTACAACCTTTGCGTTCCAATCACCAGTAATGATCAATACTGAGCTTTGTTTTTTCAAAGCACACTTGGGCATTTTCGCTTAACCTGATTCTTTGTGCAGAAAAGTCCTCTTTTTCACCACCTGGCACTTTGAACTTTCAAATGTTGAGACTCCTAACGTTCCCTTCCGTAAGCTCTCCCCAGTTACACAGAAACAGTTCAATTGGTTTCATAAATCCTTCTCCCATCTCCATCATTTCATGACTTTAATCAAGACTTTTCCAGGCAGGAAATTGACTCAAAAATGACAGGAGGGAGACTCCATCACTGTAATGGGTAGAAGATTTCATTCACTTACTAGTCAAGAGACTATGTAAACTCTATACATACGTACCTGCAAGTCTGCAGTTCAAACCCCTTAGCTGCTCCTTAGCAACCCTATAGAGAGTTGTGAATCTGAACTATCTAGGCAGCACAAAACAACAACAACAATCACACACAGAGAAGGACTAAGTGATAAATATTCTGCAGGGGTCCTGATGTGGCGCTGTAGGAGAAGCACTCAACCACAAGGTCGGTTTGAACCACAAAGTTGGGAGTTCAAACTCACGAGCTGCTCCTCGGAAACCCTATACAGGGCCACTATGAGTCAAAACCAACTCGATGGCACATAACAAGAACAAGTCATTATACATTTGAGATTTGACATGACTTTCTTGAAGGAAACCAATCAAATCAAAGTTACACGAGAAGTGCCTCTAATGTCCCAGAAGCTGGGAGGGCCAGTCCTCCTTTATGCTCTGACTGGAAAGCAGGGCACTCAGGAAGTGCTGGACACTGAGGAAGAGGTGCAAGTCCAGCTCAGGTCCTGGTCTTCGCTCGGCCCACTCAGGTGATCTCGGCAATGTCAGCTGGGCTTCTATCCTTTCCCTGGTCCCACCGCAGACCCAGGTCATCATCTGAAAGCTGAGCTTCTCCTCTCTGGGTGGGTATTGGGGAGGGCAATAAAGACCAAGTGGTTCCTCTCAAGGAAGAAAAGCTTAATTGGGGTGTCAGAGGTTTTCAGATATAGCCAATGGTAGTGGAGAACGAGGTGTGATTTAAAAAAACAAAAAAAAAAGCAAAATGGAAATGGTGTTCAGGTAGCTATTTTCAGTTCTTTACAAGACGGGTTGTCAAGAAATCCACATTTAGGGTTTTCTCAGTTGTCTTATAAGACACCTAGGGAGAGGAGTTTCTGAGTCTGCTGTACGTGAGATTTTTTTTTTTTTTCCTGTCTACCTAACCACCCCACTGAATATTGTCGGGACATTTGTAGGAAATTATCTGTTACTTAGCTCTGTGCCAGTTACTAGGATTCTATCCTGATCTCCAATGATGAGCCGAGTCATAAGGGAGGCAGCCAGGGGTATGGTGAGTCAGCATCCACCTTCACAGGAAGGATCGACTCACAGCAAACTGAGGCAGCCAGGGGTGTACTGAGTCAGCATCCACCTTCTCACAGCAAGCTTGTGAATGCCGTGAGCATGATGAGTCAGCACCCGCTTTCGCCACGGAGACACCCATTCACAGCTGTTAGTGCCAGCTTGGCGTATGGTGCAGCAAGCACCTGGTTTCCATCGGTGGTCATTCCTAGTACTTCCTCCACGTGCCCCACCCACTCTTTGTGTTCAGAGCCATCTGTGATTTGAGAGACACTTCCTTATTCCCTCTGCAGAGCTCTGTGTAGGCTCCTGCCTACCTGAGCTTCTTCCAACATGTGAAAAATTAAGGCGTGATAGAGACAGACACTGAACCAGTTAGCTAGCTAGCACTCAAGCTGGGTGAGGTGACAAGGTGACAGGCTTACCTGTTCACAGGCCAGAAAGACCACCAGGTCGCCCTTCTCACCGGAGTGGTGGATTTCAAAGATAAGGCGCAAGATGGACTCAAACGTGTCCTTGTGATCCCCACTGAGGTACACAACCTCCACGGGGTGCGTGTTTCTCACTTGTATGAGAGGCACGTTTCCGTAATACGAGCTGAGTTTGCTGGTCAGCAGGGGTGAGGTGTTAATGATGAGCTTCAGTTCTGGCCGTGCCAGCAGAACATCCTTCAGAAGTCCAAGTAACACGTCGGTTGCAATGCTTCTTTCATGGATGTCGTCTAGGATGATGGCCCCGTAGTTCCCCAGGAAAGGATCGGACATCATCTCTCTTTGCAGCATATCATCAGTACAGTACCTGCCGAGAAGAAACGTCAACGTCAGAACACTATCGGAAAAGTCACAGAAAACTTCACTTTCTCGGAGTCACTGGCTGAACATCTTCCTGGGGCCACAGATTCCTTTATGGTGACAGGACCTCCAGAGTTTCAACACACAAAACCACACGCTCAGAATACTGACAAGAATGGCACAGGATGCTTGCCCTGAATTTTTCCAATGAAAGGTCACCATGTCCCCCCTGTTTCATCAGTGGGTAGAGGTGTTTGGAGGCAAAGCACACACTGTTCAGGAAAGAGCACAACAGTGGGTACCCCACCTTTCAGCTAAATAACCGAGTATCTCATATAATAACATGTATCACCCCAAAGCACTGTGGGTGGCTCCACAGATAGAACTCCGTTGCTACCGAGTTGGTTCCAACAATGCATAGCAGCCCTGCTTCCCGGGCTAGCCCCAGATATTCTCCAACTACTGATCCTTCCTCTTTGTTTCCAATTACCAGGAATTATCAATACATCTTGATTACAGGTTTGAGCAATTTCAGACTGAAGAAGTTGGTGGAATTCTTCAATTTTGTTATAATGCATCAAAGCATTATGGGTGAATACAGCCTCATCTCTCTCCCGCAGAGCACCTGATGGGTTTGAACCGCCAACCTTGTGACTAGCAGATTAATGCTTAGCCCCCAGTACCACCAGGACTCCTTTATATATGTAAAGTGTGCGTGGCTTGAAAATGTTCATGGAAAAAAATTACATTATCTTTCCAATGTCCACAAACTTTCTGAAGGTAACTTGTACGCCTATAATATCTAGTTAGAACAAAATGTCAAGTTTGCTCTAAGCAAAAGTGAGAAGGTCAGAGACACAGAATAATGGAAACAGGAGCCGGGATGGGAATGACGACAACACTGGTCCAGTATGGAAAATGAACACACAGAAACAGTCCAATGAAAACTTAGTATCTGTTGTGCAAACTTTCACAAAAAACTCAATTGTTGTTGTTGTTAAGTGCCACAGAGTTGGTTCTGACTCACAGTGACCCCGTATGGGGTTTCTGAGGAACGGCTGGTGGGTTTGAACCGCTGACCTTGTGGTCAGCAGTCCAGTGCTTCTCCTACAGCGCCACCCAGACTGGCTCTCCTTTGATACTGCTGGTGGCACGTGGTGGGAGGTGACATCACCAAGATGTCATTAACTGATCAAACCTCTTCAAAGCAGCCACTTGTTTGAGGACAGCATGGGGACTGGCCGGTGTTCCTGGAGGTGGTGGGAGAGGTGGAAGTTCACTGGTGAGATTCCATGGAATTCCCCAGGAGCTGTTGGGATCCTATCTAAAACACAACGAACACAGCAGTGTGGCTCCACTGGGAGAGGACCCTTAGGCACGTACACCTGGCTTCCTCTGGACTCTGCCCACACACCGTTTCCCTGCTGCCTGCCTGTCATCCTCTCCTGGCGACACGTCTTAGCTGTGACCTGGATCTATGCTGAGTCTCATGAGTCCTTCTAGTGCGTCACTGGGCAAGCTTCAATGGACCTCTTTAAAGGAACAAAGACAAGAAAGAGAGCAAGCACTGAGTGGCTCCTTCGGTGTGCCAGGCCTGGTGCTGAGGTCTACGTTTTCTCAGGGAATCCTCAGAGAAACTCTTCCAGGTAGACAATGCATCCCGTGATGCGGTATAGACGAGGACACGCAGGTTCTGAGGAGCTCAGTGTGTCGGATGCTGCTGTTTCATGGTGATTGGTTTTGCTGGTGAAGTCCCCGCCCACCCTCTCTGCCCTCTTTCATCTTGTGAGCATCGTGTTTCTCACCAAGTGAGCAGCCATCTACTGCAGATCATTCCTTTTCTCAGACTTAACAAGGGAGGGACGAAATTGTGGAAGATGCAACTGACATGAACCATCTTCCGCTGAGGACAATTAGGACAGAAAGTCACAAGTGACTAGGTGCTCCTTGCCCAAAAAACAAATTATTTTCATCTATGCGGCTTCCAGAATTGGGTGTTAGGATTCAAATCTCTGCTTGGTTTTCAGCAGCACTCATCTAAGCTACAAGGAGCTCTGGTAGCATACTGGATACGAATTGGGCTGCGAACCTCAAGGTCAACAGTTCGAAAGTACCAGCTGTTCCGCGGGAGAAAGATAAGGCTTTGGGCTCCCGTAAAGATTTATGGTCTCTGAATCCCAGTACAGGGTCACTATGAGTTACAACCAACCCCACGGCACACCATCATCAACATCTAAGCTACAATCTAAGAGGAAGAAATGCGCCCTGTGTGGTGGAGGGAGCAGGTGTAATATGCAAATACAAAGCCAAGTCCAACCAAACCCACTGCCTTCAGTCTATACAGACCCACACAAGCCTACAGGACAGGGCAGAACTGCCCCAGAGCTTCCGAGGTGGTAACTATAGGGGCTGATGCTTTGTCTGTTTCCCATAGAGAAGCTAGCAGGTTTGAACAGATGACCTTACAGTGAGCAGCCGAGCGCTTAAGCCCCCTGTGCCACCAGGACCCCTTTGCATAAATCCGTCTGTTTCATTAGAAAGGGAAATGATGATGGCATATCTGAACCTGTCTGACCTTCCAGATGATTAGGCAACATTTAGGGAATTGCCTTTCTGAAGTTAAATGCCAAAACCGACTCTGGGAAGCTTCATTTTTGTCTACACAGCGATGTATTTCTTACCTTTATGCTAATGAGATACATGGGTACAGAGCACAGAGAAGTACAATTATATAAAACAATGTGTTTTTAAATATACAGATTCCTTGCCAGCAGGAAATAGAGCTGCTTTATTTTAAATTCCAAAAACTAAATTTCCCAAAGCTGAGACTATCATAGAACATCAAAGGTTTTAATATTAATATTTTCTATAATTATCTATATGTATACATATATAATAAGGAGTCCTGGTGTGGCACTGTGGGTTAAAGCACTGGACTGCAAGGTCAATTTGAACCACAAGGTCAGTAGTTCAAGCTCACCAGCCGCTTCTCGGGAACCTTGTACAGGGCCACCATGAATCAGGACCCACTTGACAGCATTTAATGTGGATATAAAGTCTGACCTTCAATGAGAAATTGTAACGCGCTCTTAAAATCGGGTTTTGAGAGAGTCAGGAGTGGAAATTTACATGTTGCTTCTGCAAGACAATCTTTATATCTAATTCAGAGAGGTGATTTTAGGCATATAATATTCAGGAACACAGAATATTTAAGCCAGAAAAAACTTGAAGAACTAGAGAGTTCTATACAGGGACGGAAACACAGTAATGGGTATAAAGACCAGCTTTTGTGTCCAATACTAGAGCAGATACTAAGAGGTTACAAAGAAAAATTCTTTAAAAGGCAATATCAAATATAGACAATCGCCTTCAGTAATCAATAGCCAAGGACAGATGTTCTAACTCAAACAGCTCCCAGGAGAATGAAGCTGGTTTAAATTCATCTTGACGATGATGAAGAAAAGCGGTGCATCCACAGTCTGTTCCCCAGGGGCCAGTCTGAGGCTCCGCCCCATTTAATCCACATGAGAACCAGGCACAGGGCATCCTCCCCATTGTATGGACCAAGCCCAGAGAGGTGAGCAGACTTGTCCCAGGTTCCAGGTGAGTAATTGGTGGAGACACTCATCTTATAGCCATGTGACCTCTTCAGAGCACAGAACACCAAGAGAAAGATGAGATATTCTCATCACTGTAAGGTAAGCGCTAGACTGCCAACCACAAGGTCAGCAGTTCAAACCCACCAGCCACACCTTGGAAATCCTATACAGGGTCGCTATGAGTCAGAACCAACTCGACGGCACTTAATAACAACAGCAACATCATAGGAATGGAGTCCTGGTGTAGTGCTGTAGGATAAATACTGGACTGCTAACCACAGGTTGATGGTTCGAGCCCACCAGTTGCTTTAGGGAGAAAGCTGAGGTTGTCTGCTCTGCAAAAATTTACAACCTTGGAAACCCTTTACAGGGTGGCTGTGAGTTGGAACTGATTGGACAGCACTTTACAACAACGACAACATCGCTACAGGAAGATTAGACAGTGAGGATGGTCCAGGACCAGGCTGTATGTCATTCTGTTGTACACAGGATGGAACCAACTTGACAACACCTAACACCAACAACATCTCCTGTCAAAGAGGGGTTCTGCAACAGGTGTGGATTCTTTCCCCCAGCTCAGACCCTGGAAACACAACAACACATGATGTCCTGTCTGCTAACTCTGCACTAGTAAGGGGTGTGTCAGGGTGAGAATAAAGGTACAATGTCCCAGAGACAAGTACAACTGGGGAGGGAAGCTACAACAAGAGAGGGTCAGAAAGCATAGCTCCAGCTGAAGGAAACAATTAAGTAACGGCTACAGCAGGTCGCTAACGTCCTTGTTCCTCAGTAAGGAAAGGGTACGGCATGCTGATCAGTAAGGAAAGGGTACGGCATGCTGATCAGTAAGGAAGGGGTACGGCATGCCGATCAGTAAGGAAGGGGTACAACATGGCGATCAGTAAGGAAGGGGTACGGCATGCTGATCAGTAAGGAAGGGGCACGGCATGCCGATCAGTAAGGAAGGGGTAC